AAAAAAGCAGCAACTAAGGAAGGAAAGCAGAAAAAGCTGTCGTAATAACTACATCTCTCTACAAAACAGAACTTGAATCATCCATAGTCAGTGTCAACTACATCTAAACTTCAAATAAAAAGAAAAATTGGATATGTTTTAACCGAATCGAGCAGCTCTTCTGAAGAAGATTTTGTGGTGGATGATGATTCAGATGATTAATTATTTACTGGGGAAGATGAGGAACAAAACCACCCAGAGGTTGCAGAAAATTCTGAGTGTCTGTTCTGTGGTGGAAAATTTTTAGACAACAAAAAAATCTGAAAAACAGTCGATACAGTGTACATTTTGTAACGCATGGTTTCATTTGCAATGTACCTCTTATGTATCTGGTATCTATATTTGCGATTTTTGCCAACAGAAATTTGTTTTTGGTAGTTTTGGTTATATTCCATATTTGTGACCCTAATTTTACAAAAGGGAAATATTATTATTTTAGTTCTGTTAATATAACTTTTAAAACGTTCTGATTTTTGCAAAAACAAGTTATACTTGTTTAAATATATATAGTTATTAATCATTTGTACCTTTTTCGTGTTGGAGAAATGAACATATTTTATTAATTTTGCAGTTTTTAAAAAAAAGTGTTCCATATTTGTCGCCCTTCCTCTAACATTTGAAAGACTGATTATTACGAAAACAAAAAAATACGTCAATTAATATTCGAAGGGGGAAATATTGTGTCATATTTAGGCTTGCTGAAAAAGTAACCCTTTCACCCCCGCTATTATCTTTTCAATTTTTTTTTAATGGCGGTGGTTACTTTTATCTGAAGAGCACTGTATATGTGTCTACGGATAAAATTAAAAAAATCGTTATTATAAAATTAACGATGAAAAGTCATTATTTATAAAAAAATCTGCATGTCGGGAAAATTGTATTACAGTATAAAAATCTTAGATTAGATGCACAGGGTGTTAATAATTTAATAAAACATATTTCAAGAGAGAAAAGTATAATTATTTAATATTTAAAGTAAAATATTTAAAAAAGAAAGTTGTTATTCACAATGAAGCCTGATTACACATTTTCAAAAAATGTTTACCGGCTATCTTGATTTTTTGTTAAATGCCGCAAATAATCGAAAAAATGAGCTATAGCCAAAGAGCTTACTGCAAATTTTGACCGTCATCTATTAACGAAATGAAATATGCCCCAAAGGTATGTAAAAACATTGTACCTTACCAAACGGCACCTGTGCCAATCACTAGCCTGAACAAAGTGGGTAAAACATACAAATGAAAATAGAATTCAATACAACTAATATGGTTATATTCGAAAGTTTTCCATAAAATAACATATTGAAAATTTTTTTTAGTACATCATTAAAAGGAACGACTTTCTTCCCTTTAACATCGCACAAAAAAATCTATCCATTTGATTTACCAAGATCTTGACAAACAATTAGAAATTTGACACGTGCTTACTAGATTAGAATTTAGAAATATTGAGTCGTTACTATGAAGACAAGATATAAGGAGGCGAATCGGCCTTGGTCAAATTTCAAATTTCCGTCCCTATTTTTATGGAGTTCCAAAAAACTACTGTAGTTCGCGGGTGGCGAAATAACGACGTCTATTTTCTATGCAAGTCAATGGGAATTAAAGTGATTTTTGTAAAATTTAGTGAAAAGAATAAAAAAAAGCTGCAATAAAGAACCTGACTACAAGTAACAATGAGTAACAAAAAACGACAAAGCACGATTTGCTTCGTTCCGGGTTGCAAAACGGGATAAAAATCCGATATAAAATTAAAGAAATCACAAGGAGATAAAAATACAAGTCTTTTTAAAGCCTCTAGTGTAAGTAAAATAATGTATTTATTTCTAAATAATATATATTTATTGTAAAATAGTCACAACCCGTATCTTACGGAGTGTAGTTTATTTAATTACAAAATTCTATAATAAAAAATAATAGTAATAAATCCTGACTTACAAACAACAATAATTACACATTAAATTTATCTTACTAGAAAAGAAAATTTGCTTTTTTTTATGTTTTTTGATGTTAAATGAAGAGTTACTACTGTTATTTTTCTTTATTGAACTCCAATTTAGTCATTGTAAATATTTTTTATAGGATCCTAAACGTTTAGAACAATGGCAGCATGTGATTCCTAGGGCTGATAAAGTACTGTCTAGTTATGATTCTGTTTACTTACAAGCTACACTTTTTAGAAGTTGATATTTTAAAATTTGATGAGACTATTTTAACTAATGGTACGAGTACTGTTAACAAAATAAAAAGGGAAAGGCCGAGATTAAAGAACGAAGCAATACCATGTATATTCCCGAATCTCCCTTCAAACTTGTACAGTATTAGGAAAAGACGAAAACCACCATTGAACCGAACTGAATTTGTTAGAATAAAAAAAAAGGAAGAAAATACTAGAACCTATTGCTGAAGAAACTATTCACCAGGATGATGAAATTGTAGTTGTCGAATACAAATTTACCACAAAACTGTACCTACCAAATTTCATGGGCTTTACTAAAAGAACATACATTTTTGAAAAAAGGGTTTGCTACAGGAAGTTTCTAGTAAAACGTACATAGTTACAAATCATTTTAAAGAAGAAAACAAGGGCCTTTTGGAGTTGAGAAGAAATTTGTAAAGCATTTACGATAAAATGTTTGAGTAAATGGTGCTATATTTAACTCAGAAATAATCTAAAGTATATGTTGCTGGGAATTTCAACTTTACAAAAGTGCGCTACTAAAATAAATCTAAAATTTGACCTTTTGGATGATTTATTTAAATACTCCATGTATATGTAATGTTTAATCTCCTCTGTGTATTGTATGTATATAAACAATAGATAAAATTGTTTTTCTCTAATTTGGTACCTATATTTATAGATTATTATAATAAAACTGGGTGATTGTTGTTTTTTTTTTTAAGAAAATTGTACTGTTCATAGTGTACATCAAATAACTAAAAACTGACAAAATATATTTTCTATTTCGGATATAAATATACATTGTATGTTTTTTTTTCTGAAGTCCAACAGGCCCAAATTTTCTTCTATACAATTATTTGTAACTACTTTTTACTAAAAACTTCCTGTAGCAAACCCTTTTTTCAATAAGTAGGTTCTTTTGGTAAAGCCCTTTGACTTTTCTTGCTCTTCTTTGTGTTTAATGCTTGTAAGAAACCATCTCGTCTGCTTTTAAATAAAGGGTGGACAAAGGTGCAATTAATTTATTAATAGTGAATTATATTTGCAGAATATTACTCTAAAATTAGCCTTTAATTTCATTTTAGGCTTAGTCCCTTTATTTCTTCTAACGATTTTTGTGTGTAAAAAGTAAAATTTATTTGGCAACAGTAACAGTACGGTTTGCTCCAAGCTTGCCAAAATATCAACATATTTCAGGATATAAACAAAGTGTGATCCGAATTCAGCTCGGAAGCCGTACCTTAACCCAAAATGTTTAAAATAAACCATTTACATATTAATATTACTCTTTATAATTCAAATAAAAAGTAATTCATTTGAAATTTGATGGAAATCATTACATTATTTCTCCTTGCTGTTTTTTAGCTCGTCTTTCAAAAAATCAAACTACCGGTATTATAAAAACTCTAACACCAGAACAAAGTTCAAAAATAAAAATAAAAATATAAACACCACTAAATAATAATAACGTCACTGCGTCCTTAGCAACCAATGAACTGGAGGAGGGTAGAATGCCAATGTACATGTAGTACTATTAAGACTAGGTGCGACTCTATGGGCGCAGCCATTTTTTACTATTCATCTCACTCGGGACTATTTATAATAACCATTTTCTGTTTCACATTTTTATTGTTCAATCCACAAGCTGGTGGATCAGACAATAACAATGTGAAATAGAAAATGGTTATTTTAAATAATCCCGAGTGAGATGAAAAATAACCTATCTTCGCCCATAGAGTCGCACATCAAGTCTATTGACAAGCATTCTACCCCACTCCAGTTCATTGTTAGCAACCGTGATGAGGCCTTTTGCGAACCGCGACTACGAATACCTCTTTGTGTGATTTGACAGGGACAATGATATAGATACTTATATAGATTGCTCAAAGCGGGTCGTTATGCGGTCGGCCGTAAAAAATAGGGATGGGAGAATCTAACCTTGATAGCGTGTCACTGGTTACACCTTTCAAAAGTTTCTAAAGAGTATATTGGTTACCAAATTTTAAAAATATTAAAATGTGTTTTTGATTTATGACAAATTTTTAATTTTGATTTCAAACCTTTAACACATTTTATCTCGGTAATAAAACCCTTTAAGGGTTCATGTTCCTATATCAAAATTCCTGAATTAATGAGAGCTCTTTGTGTTAAAGCGTTGTCGGTCGTATATACTAACATCCTGCATAAATTCTTATATTGCAGATACTTGATCACTATGATCAAAAAATGAAATAAAATACATTTTGTCATTAAACATATTCTTTTTGAGTTGAAATTTTTTGGAATTCTAAGTCAAAGTAATATATTTTTCGAGTTCTAAGTCGGACAAAACAATTTTGCCGAGTTCTAAAAAATATTTTGTAGCCCTACTACTTTAGGATATATTTTAAAATTAATATTACTTAAATGAAATAATAACAGTTCAAAAACTATATATTAGTCTATACACAATTTTTTGGCACATAAATTACCTCAATACAGCGTAGGTCGTCATAAGTATGAGAGGAAAGAAGACCTCTAAAATTATATAGCAAAAATCTAAGAAAAGTCAAGGAGTAAAACCAATGAATATTTCATATATTATATTAAGTCTCTCCTCTATAAACTCAATTAGTTGAAACAGATGTGAAAGACGCTCGAGCACGTTAATTTTTATTTAAATCAAGGCGTTTTATGACATGAAAAATTCTGCCTGTTCTTTAATCCTCTCCACGTGGAAGCCATCCACTTTATTTTGGTATAATTTAAAAATACACAATGCATTAATATTGAAGACTTACCCTATCAGGTTTATACAGGTGTGTGTGGGGAAGTAAAAATGTGGAACCCAAATCCCTTTCGGCCATTGTATTTGCCTCCTGAAAAATAAATATTTTATTTATTAAAATATATAAAACGCAACGCTTACTGCAAAGTATATTGTATATGTAGCTAGAGTGGTACGGCTACGATAAATTTTCTCTAGAACATGAAAGAAGGTGGCTGACTTATAAGGCAGCATAACTACATATTTTAATTATAATATAGAATGAGATCCCAATTTTATTTTTTCCCAACATGGCAGAACGTTTGTGTTCCTTTTTACAGAATAAAATGGCTGAATTTTCTTATGACCAAAAAGTTGTAAATAATACATATAAACACCACGTAAAAAATATTTTACTTATTATTTTATAACTTATACTTTCATTGCTTTTATGTGCACAACATATGGTTATTATAACTTAATTATTTATTACCACTACGTTATAACATAATTATTAGTGTATTATATAAGTTATATTAAAATTTGTTTACTACTAATGTTATAACTGTCAAATTATAAAAACATTTTTATAAGTTATGTAGCTAGGCTCTGTTTACTGTTACTACTGCTTACTAACATTAAAATTTGGAATGGTTTAGGAGGAATTAAATCATTTCTAATATTTGTTTGCAAGGAATAATGAAGGAAGGATCAAATGAAAAGTACTTATTGCTTGCAAAACATGTTTCTAAGCTATAACATTTTTAAATTTACCATTGGGATCTGGTCCCATAAAAACTATGTTGTTTAATGTTATTTGTGCATTTAATTATTCTCACTAATTCGTTTACAATTTTATGTAGTAAGTACCTACTTCTAATTATTGGTCCCTATTTTCATGTTAATTTCCATGTTTCAATATGTTCTTTTTCTGTATTAGTTATTTCTTTTTATGGCTATACTATTATTATGGCTATTATTGTAAGAAGCACAATTCCCAAGATTACTATTGAAAACAAAGGATGGTTTTATTGTATAGGTAGGTACTGCGGATCTGTATTTGAAATGTTCTTGAAATTCTTTAATGCGTCCAGTTTTAGTTTTTTTTACATCTATAAGAGCCCACCTCTTTTTCAAATACATGATAATTCTCTTATAACATTTATAAAGCAGTTATTCCTAACTCCTAATATTAGAAAGATAATAAATTCTAGGGATACAATAATATACATATTTAACCATTGTACAACTTCTATAATAATGGTGTATTATATAATTTAAAACAACAGAACCACTTAAGCAGTTTATAATAGTTTTATTAACCATATAATAATTTTCTTGATAAACCTAATAGTAAACCTTAGATAAAAAAAAACAATAGTAAATAGTTTACAACGGTATTATTAAGAGAATATGTATCTATCTAGTAGTTGTAACTCAAACGTTATAGAAACGTTATAACAACTTACTTTAGTTATATGTTTCTTAACCCTGTGTTACACTAAAATATTATTGGACAAAAATCTCAGATTTTATACGATATATATTTTTTTACAATCGTACTTACATCATTGTGATGTTGAGAAGAGTGTTTTGAGTCATAGTCTGGTCGAAGACACTTCATAGGAGGAGGAATAGTCGTTTCATCACACGATCTTGCTTCTGATACGGTCCTAAAATATAAAAAATACATTGAAACAATATTCAAACGCATCTTAATATTAGTTTTATGAAAATATGCTAAAAGGGTTATAGTTTTCGTGAAGGTAATTGTCGAAAAACAATTATATTCATTGTCACAATTCGATTATAAAAATGTTTGTTACAACCAAAGTGTAAACTCTGTGAATGTATACATTCACTAGTCAATATGTATATGTAACGCACAATACTCAAATCTGGGTAATGCCAGAACAAAAATGCGCATAACTAATTTTGCGCAACGAATAAGTCCCAAAACCGAAATTGTAGGTACTCTTCTACGGCTATTGAGCATTACGAAATAAGCAGAACTTGTTTTGCGCAATTTGAATTGCGCAAAACTGGTTTTGTGTATTTTTGAAGGTGGTAGTAGTAGTAAATAGCCCTGAATTCCTAACGTGTTTGTTTTTGGTCTTTGCCTTCTATCATATTCAATTTGCAAATTAAAAGTTTAATATCCCTACCTAATTATTTGATTTTAATAATGGTAATTATTTAACTACTCCGGTTGATAGCCTATTGGACTGAATTTTCAGTTCAATAAATGACATTTATTATTATTATTATTTAACTTTTTTATTCGCTTCTTCAACATACAACAATTTGAGCTGTGTCCAGGCCGTTTAAGTCTATGCCGGTCGGCGCAGCCAGATATAGGTCGAAATTTTCTAGTGGCGAGAAATCGTTGCTTGGTATTCTTGTTGTATATTTTTACTTCTGATTCTATATTACTGTCAGTTTGCCATGGGATGGGAATGTACGTTGTGATGATTTATAATATATCACATGGCATATCCGAAAGAAAATGAAAGTATCAACATTCAATTTAGTTTACATTTTGACTAGCAAATGAATACATTCTCTAACCTGATATAGTGAAAGTATAAATACAATAAACTCGTGTATTACATATGTTGTTGATTAGTATAACCTATTTAACTGTTTATTTTATTTTTGAATAATAAAGTTGATAAATAAAACGCTTTTTATTTTAAAATAAGTCCGAATACCCTAAAAATGTATAATTCGTTCGGACTATAAATAGAGGCTTACTATTTATAGTCCGATTTTTGTGAAATTTTCAGGAAATACCAATAATAACAAAACTTAAGGTGAAGAAATCGTCAATTTTTTGTATATATTGGAAAAGTATTTGTTTTAATTTTTTTTAAAGATAATTTAAGAAACATTTACGAGTTATTCTGTATTAAATCTACGAAAATTTGATCTTTTTTGTTTTTATAAATATCTATAGTGCGGGACAAATTCCCGGGGCTCGGGCACAAGTGGGGGTCCGGGCATAAGTGGGGTCCGGGCATAAGTGGGGTCCGTGCACAAATGGGGGCCGGCAACGTTAGGTGAGGACGTTTTATTTTTTTTTTAGCAGTTCTCTACAACGCCACAAAAGGTAGGAACGCTGGTTTATGTAAAATACAAGATGGGAACCTTTTTTTTTAGAGATCTAAGTTTTGCTTATTTTCTGTTTTTTTTTTGTTTTTTTGTCTTTTTTTGTTTTTTGTTTTTCTTTTTTTTTATTTTTTTTTCTTTTTTTTTTTTATTTTTTTTTTATATTTTTTTTTTCTTTTTTTTTTTCTTTTTTTTTTCTTTTTTTTTTTCTTTTTTTTTTCTTTTTTTTCTTCTTTTTTTTGTTATTTTTGTTATTTCTTGTTTTTTTAAAATTGTCGCGGGGCCCCACCTGGCTCTCGGCGGCCTTGCAGGAAAGTGCGAACAGATCATCTTCACTCAAATGGCCAAATAAAACTTCGATACATATACCTAGTAATCTACTAAGTAAACCGAAAACAAAAATTATCGAAATCAAGTATAAATAATAAAAAAATAGAATACTTACATTACCCTCGGTAACATATCCAACCAGTTAGAAGCATTATCATTTACATTACTTTCTAAATCGTCATCCCTAAAAATCAAAAAAACAATACAGTATTAACAAGGAATCTTTCAACTGTTTTGACGTACAAAACAGAGTAACAAAATATTATTTATTTAAGAATAAATTTTAAAGATTATTTTAGCGTATTTAAGTCATGAATGACATTAATACGAAAAATTCGGATTACTTTATTTCTGGTAAAATTTAAGTTGGAATTTTTGAGTTATGAGACATTACATAGGATAATGTAATTCCACATACTTTTCATCCTACTAACCATACCCGCTTTACCTTAAGCTATCCTGTATATATTATCAAGGATTATAGAAAAGCACATTTATTTAAGTACATTTATAATAAAAAAATATATAAATTATATAGATTAATTTTAATAGAATATTTTATTCAGTACGAAAAATCTTGCTACCCCTCCCAAATTCTCCCGAAGGCTATCCCTACGTCAAAAAAATTCCAATGACTCGCTGTGTATATATTATGAAGGTGAAGGATTATGAAAGAGCATAATTATTTTTGAGTACATCCATAATAAAAAAGTTATAGTTACATAGGTAACTTATTGAGTTATTTTAATTTGAAATTTTGATATTTTATTCACTACAAAAAATCAAGCCTATCTATAAATGAGAAGTATGTGGACTTAGGTCTCCCGATTCGCGATTTTTTGCACGCCTGTCATTTGTCACCTATAAGTAGGATATTTGTTTATTTACTATAGGTTCTTTCGTTCGTCCCACTGGTGTAGGAATAAACTACACCAATGGACACTATACCTTTCGTTTGGTCCGGTGTAAAATCCACTACACCTTTCGGTCGGGAGTGTGGTGTCGACTGGTTGGTACTTTGATATTTTCTCTACCAGCCATTAAGAAGACGTGAATTACACTCGACATGTGTATAAGGAATGAGGAGGGAATTACACTACACCAACAACGAACGGAAGAACCTAAGGAATAAGGAGGAAAGTAAATTAGGTAAATAAGAAGGTGTAATTGACACTAGTAAACAATGCACCAACAGTGACCGAAAGAATCTAATATGCTGGAATTCCCGGGAAAATGGCCCGTTAGGGGCCGGAAAATCGTGTTTCGGACGTCGCAATGGCATTTGTGTTATTTTTATGTACTTTTGAATTCTGGAATGAATACCGTGCTCGAAAAGTTTATGGCCAACTGTAATTCCCTATTTGGGACTGGGAAAATGGCCCGTTAGGGGCCGGAAAATCGTTTTTCGGACGTTGCAATCACTACAGTGGTATTTTTATGTCCTTATTTATGTCCTAGTTCTCGAACTCAGACTGTGCTCAAAAAGTTAATTTCCATCTGGAATTCCCCCTTTGAGACCGGGAAAACGACCCCGTAAGGGCCGGAAAGTCGTGTTTAGGACGTAGTAATCCAGTGGTATTTTCATGAAAATTGAGTGAAGCCAATGTTCTTCTACTCTGCGAATAGATTTGACGTCGAGAAGATTTCATCACGCTCGGTTACGGCCTTAATTCAAGAATTACTCTTATGTGATTTTCCGGCCCCTACCGGGCCATTTTCCCTGCCCGCACGGGGAATTCTAGTTGTCTGTGAACTTTTCGATCACAAACCCGACTTTAGAATGCACCTTCAACCACGCCTCATCTCGGAATCCACCTTTCAGGCCATATAGAGGCCATTGTTGGCCCCTGGGTCAATTCCAGACATCGAGGGCCATTTATGAGCTCGGGATCGGATTCAGCTTCGAAAAATACATGGGAATACATATGTCCGACCAGCAAGTCTAAACACTTTTTTTTTGTTTACTAAACGCAGTACATGTTTTATTATGTGATTGAAAAGAAATTTAAGGTTAATTATTGATAAACTTAATTAAAAATCTTATTCTTATATTATGAAGTGAATGGGGTATTACTTTGTATGCATGTAAACGGTAATAAAACTGTCATAATGCTTGTATACCACTAAATATTTTACAAATTTTATTCTTCATTTTTGATTTATTATTGCAGAACTTTTTATAAATAATTTATAAATTAATAATAAAAAAATCCCATTTCTTGTCAAATATTTCAGACATTTCACACAAACTAGATTAAACAATATTAAACGTAAATCAATAAAATCGTGTCAACTAAAGCTTATTTAATATTAGCATTTTATCGCGAATCATTGTTACGCCGCTGCATAGGAGGATTATGGATAATTCTAGAAATACATTGTTGCCGGCTGACTATAATCCTTCAATGAGTCACCATAATTTAATAATTGTAATAGTATACCACAGCTTATTCACTAAGCTGTGCTTATAGACACCTTTTACAAATTTCCTCCCGAAAGCGTATTACATAGTTTGAATCGCGAATGCACTGTCCCATACACAAAAAAATCAAGATATTCAAGGTTTCAACTTAATTTATAGAAGGAATAAAGCCATCCAAAGTTTTTGCCCAGTTTATTGTTTCTAAGATAGTAGGTATACTCGTATATTGTAGTATTTTAAGAGTATTATATTACTACGCTATTAGACGGCCTAAAAATTTAATAAACAAAAAATTTAAATCAATAGAAAATAATTCCAAAAATAATACATGCACAAAAAGTAACGTAACTAGCTAATAATATAATATAATAAAAAAGTTTTATGAAATAAAATAAAGATATCAGTATAAAGTCAGTTAAAAATATACCGGGTGCGCCATTACTCTAAAATAACGCATATATATTTTTTTAAATAGTAAACCATGTATAGGGTGAACCCTAAGTTGATACTTTTTTAACTGTGTATAAAAGTCAGTGACGTAGCTACCGGGACATCTAGGGCAATAACTAGTAGGTGGCGCCAGCAAGATTTGGGCTCCTTAACGTCTTTAGAATTACACAACATAGTGTCTTTATTTCCTATAATTCCTTTGTTTTTTAAAATACAAAATACCTACATAAATTAATTATATTTATTCATGAATTATAATTATTGTCTATGCGCGCAACTAAAACTCCAATGCCGCCTGCCATACCGAAATGTTTTACGTTTACAGCTGATTACGTAATCGGAGCATATGTAGGTTGTTTCTCTTAGAATATTGTTCTATTAAAAAATTAACTTATACTTAAAGGGTTTGATTGTCCCAAGTTCCCCATTATAGGTACGACTTTTGGGTCTGATATCCGGCACCACTTAACCTAGCTACGCCATTGATAAAAGTCCTTAAAATAGACAACTTTTTTAAATCCCTTTTTTAAAAACTCACAAATAAGAAACTTACATTAATTTATTCCAATACGGTTCTGTTTAACTTAAATAATGTGTAGAACTCTAGAACTTTAGTCGAAAAATATTAATCATATTCATGCCGTTGTAAAAGCCTTTCATAAAACAACTCTGTGGGAAAAAACCTCAAGATGTAGTGCTCGAACACGTTGAATGTCAAAGGGATACAATTAATTTTCCCGCAATGTTATCCACACGTATCTTTGACTTATCCCACCTGATCTGCAATCACCTGCATACTTGTTGGATCTTCTTTAATTACATTTAAAATTGTGTTTTTCTAAATGCACTTCATTTTCAATTTACTAAACTGAAAAATATAACATACATAATGAACAAGATAAACACGCTACTAAACTACAATAACCGGCACACTATGAAATCGTGATTCATAAGAAACACCGATAAACTAGATAAAAACACAAATAGACTTAGTAATTAGCTTAACTTTATACACAAGTTCAGGCCCGAATTTGTATTTGTTTATTTAAGTATGTTTCTTAAAATATTAGTCTCGTATTCTATGTAGGCTTTGTTGGTGTCTCCCAAAGCCACCTTAGGAACATCACTGTAAATTAGAACCCAACAGTAAATGGTCGAGTGGGGCATCCTACCTATGCTTTAGAATTATTATTTAATTTATTAAATTAAATAAAAACCCCTGCGACGGTATTCAAACCTGAGAATTTTCAATCTCAAAGTCATGACTCTAACCACTGAACCAATCCACCCCTTGAGTAATTTTTTGTTTTTGAGTTTCTTAGAAAAAGTAATTTGAAAGAGGTGTTTATTTTAACGACTTCTATATACAGTTGAAAAAGTAGGATTCACCCTGTATATTTTTCAGGGTTAAAACTGCATAATGATAACTTTATTAGTTAGCTATTAAAAAATCCTTGCGTTATTATGAATATTTCTAACTGACTTATATGCTTACGTTACTATTTCTACTGTATAGAAACTTGTAAACTATTAATAATGACTGGACTTTGCTTTGGATAGTTGAATTGATCAAGTCATAAAAAAAGTATTATGTGGTACTTACGCTAAAGACTTTCTTAATGTATTAAACTGGGACCTAGTTCCAGTACTGGACAATAGATCGGCACTAATTTTCTGAATCAGCGTGGCATTTTCACTTCTATCCGCTTCCGTACCACACATGGTAACCAAGGTACCCATATTATTGACCACAGTCGCAGATACTTCGAACCCTGCTGAAATCAAAGCTCCGGAAGTTTTCCTAGAATTGGCCTTCTCTTCGATAATTGATTCGCTCTGAGCGTTACTGTATTTCCTGGTAGCTTCAGACTAAAATGAAAAATTACCAAAATGTGACTAAAATAATATTTTTTATTTGAATTTTTGACAGATTTCAATTGTCAATAATCATTTAAAATAAAAGAGTTTGTAAATTTTTATTAAGACAGCTCTATTTAAGAAAGTTTTTTAAGACCGACCAGAAAGTATACACTTTCTGAATGATTTTTTGTCCAGAAAGTAACGTTTTGCCTATCAAGACCGGAAAGTAGACGTTAGGGACCGGTTAAAGCTTTACCGGTCCCACTTTTTCATTTTTCCGATTGCTGTTTAATAATACAGTTTGCCTTGATTTCGTTACTATGCTAACAACGTTCCGATTTATTGCAAAGTGACAGCGTTGATTTTTAATTTGTTGTTTATGTCAAACTTGTTTTCGCAAATTTAAAAATATGGATTCAGATTTTGAATTAAGTTAAAATAAAAAAAAACTTTGATACCCTGTATTTTGGAAACTATCAACTATTGGATCAAGTCACATTGGGCTAGTCTAGGCCCTCATCTTTTAGCCTCAGGAATTTGTGTTAGCGTTGTGTACAGACAGTATACGTGTTGACAATCGAATTTCTCGACATAGGACTAATTTATTTTTACAGGCCATTGTGTGGTAAATTTGACCTGTTTGGACTGCAGGAATCTTACAGATTTCAGCTAACTGAAAGGATTCTATTTAAATACTAACAATAAATTATATTACGCCTTCCAATAAGATATTTTATTGACAACTATATTTTTTATATGACATTTATCAACTTTCAAAGTAAAAAAAATATATCATACAAGGGGCACTAAAAATTTATTTGAAAATTCCACACCTGTAATTTTGAACCAATCAAAATACGTGTTTTTGACAGATCACCATGGCAACGGAGGTATTTTAGTGGAAATTTTTTTCTCGTGGGGTACCCAACAGCGAATTATACTGGACATTTTTTGACGTTTACAATAACAGACCATTTTTAAAAGACTGGTTTTTATTTGTTCACATAATAGGTTTAGTTTTGATACATTTTAGTTACAATGCTAAGGTGTTTTCTATATTCTTCGGCCACTTCTTTTCTTCTTAATGGCGAAAATGCAGGACTTTGGATGCTTTGAATTATGTGTCTATGTCTAATAAAATATATATAATATTTAGACACTAATTTATTCACCTTTTTCCCATTCAGCACTTTGAATTTTGCGTAGTTTAGGTGCAAATATTCGTGGACAATTCGGAACAAATTTTCGTTTTTCAAGTTGGAGCCACAATCCTCTATTAATCCGAGTAAGTAAGTCATGGTGCAATGATTGATCATTACATCAGACAATTTCACGCATATTTTGCATAGCGTATGATTTTCAAATCGATTCATTTTTAAACAAATAGGTAATTTTGTTGGTTTTACTTGCTGTGCAATATTCTTTATCGCAACAAAACGCGAGTTATTTAATGTTTTGAACTGTCAAAATACAATGATCACAGCCTCCTACGATTGATGCTTGCTGACGTTGGTTATGAATTTCATACCATTTTAAAGCGCTCATAACGCATGTTAATAAAAACGCAGAAAAACAATTTTCTACAACTTGTAGTTATTCAAAACTTACGTAAAATTAAAGAATATACTATTTTCTATTTTCAAATGGTATTCCCATGCAACTACAATGAGTAGAAATAAGCAATTTGAAGGCCTAAATAATTGCAGCGAAACATTTTTTTACGTCGGGCCGCTTGACAACTTCAAAACTGAAATTATATTCGAGGTTATGGTCTCACTTAGTTACCATGACAACTCAACAATCAAGGCGACAACACCTTTTATATTTAATTTTCAACCATAATTCGGCGTGGAATTTTCTTACCGAATACAACGCGAGGTCAAATTAATATCAGGAAATTTTTTCTCGCTCATGAATATTTTTAGAAAATTCATGAGCTCGAAAAAATTTCCGGAAATAATTTGACCTCTAGTGGTATTACTAGTGAATATTTCCAACATTCTCCCCCTTTTTGAAGTCACATTACTGACTCAAACCATATCTTTGGGGTTGTTTAACTGTTCTTCCACTTCGGGTCACCTCGGTTTTAGATTCAGATATTTCTGTAGCTTCTTTAGATGAAATGGAAGTATGTCCTTCACTAATAGTTGGGTTCCCCAATAAAGATCTTTGACTTCGACCTCTAAGGAAATACTCTTTGAAGTGGTCGGAATATGTGGCCTGATTTTATCTTTAGTCGTAATAATCGTATTTCTCCATCTTTCTCATTTATTTCTTCTTCTACGATCGCCAAGGGCCAGTCTATATGTTTCATATTATCGTGTCCAATAAGTACCAAGTCTCCTTCCTTAACTTGATGTATTTTAGTTTTTGAATATAAAATGAGTTGTCCCAAATATTCATTACGAAATCGTTTTTTAGAGCATCTCGTAATTTCTGTCTATATCTAATATGTTTCTTAAAATGTGAGGAATCTAATTTGTCAATATCAGTAACGTCAGTTGTTTTGTTTAAGTCTTGTAAAAACATATTGGGTGTTAAAGCAATTAAATCGTCACCGGATTCTGAGAGGTATGTCAGGGGTCGAGAACTAATAATAGATTCGCAATCACATATTACAGTAGACAATTCTTCGAAATTGAGAGACGACCCAGACAGCTCACCAAATCCTTTGGATATCTACTGAACATCCCAATATCCACTGAATGTCCAGTCCATGGTAGATATCTATTTTATATCCATGAAATGTAATTTATAGACATGCAAATGTCCATAAATAATAGTAATTATATAGCAAATTATTAAAAAATTACGCCATTGTGCTCGCCATTGTGGCTAATAGTACCGTTCAGATATTTAAAATTAATTTTTTTAAGGTGTATTCAATATTCCATGAACATCCACTAAATATATCAAAGTCTAGGCGCGAACGCAAACCATCGTGGATATCCACTAGATGTTATTTGATTCTGCTTACTAAGTATAGATGGCGATACCACTATCGCATCTACTCATGCTCGACCCGCCGTAATTGAGTTCGATCGAAATTTGTGTCCTAATCACTCCATTAGAGACTGAAGTCGAGAATTTTCATTTATTGCTGCAGAGTCCTAATAAGGATGACTTTCTCCTTAGTGGGCAAAATCAAAGGCAGTGTTGAAAATATTTTGAGTGTTGAAAATATTTTGAGTGTTAAAAACGCCATAATATTATTTAGTCGATCTTTTAATGAAGAATCGCAGTTGTATAAACTACTTCTTTGCCAAGCTCTCAACAATTCCTTTGGTAGACAAGACTCTACCAACGGAAACAACATAGCTGCATATGTATCCGAAGTAACGCCTAATGTATCAAGTGCTCTTAACTGTGTTTCCATTTTATCATAAAGATCTGCAAGTTTTACCTACTTATTTAAATTATTAGGTATAAGGGAAAGGAGTTCTCTAACATAGATTTCTATTAAGAGATCTTGTCTACCAAAACAAGATGTGAGACTATCGATAGCTTTTGAATAATTATTACTAGTGGGAGGAAAGCTATCTATTATTTGTCTTGCTCTAGTTTTAGGGGCTGTAGCTTGAATTAGAGATTGAAACTTGTCCTCTTTATCAATTTCTTGATCTTCATGTATGCGACGAAATTGGCTCCAAAACGACAACCAGTCTAACAGTTCTGTACGAGCTGCTGCTAGAATTTTCAATGAAACACATCATGGAGGTCATGCAACTCATAAGTATGTAATTGATCTTATGCATACAATTACATCAACCGGGTCAGTTGGCAAGTCATAGTTTTAGGACAAGTAATTCTTGAAAATTAATAATCACAACCACTGTAAACAATAAGCAGAGCAATAGGTGTTTAATCTTTCACAGTTTTTGGAATATTACACAAGTACAAGTACCATGCATACATAATTAAATTGGTACGAATTTTGTGAATTATTGAGTCAGCGCTAGGCTGACAATCCACATTTGTTGCATAACCTTTGTGTTTCGGATGAATGCACATTTTCAGTGAGTAGATTAGTTAATAGACATAATTGCAGATATTGGTCTGAGAGTGATCCACATGTTGTGCGTGAATACCATACACAGAATCCTCAAAAGTATGGTGTGGCATCTTAGGTGACTACATAGTCGGACTTTTCTTTTTAGACAGAAATGGTGAATGGCATCTTGAGTCATTGAGAGAAGTAATTGATCGACGCATTACAGCAATAATAGGAAATGATCATAACCTTTCTGAATATTTGCTTGTATTTCAACACTTTGCTTTGCCTGTAAGTCATTTTTTAAATGAAAGTTTCCTCACTCCTTGGATATGTAGAAGAGGCTGGATGATGGAGTGACCACATAGATCACCGGATTTAATACTCCTAGACTTATTTGAAAACAAAAATGTATTTTACCCAACCAGAATCTTTAGAAGATTTACGACCAAGAATACAGTACCTATGAATGCCGAAATTTAAATGCAGACGTGTTTGGTAATGTCGGAGAGTATTTACAAACTAGAATATACCATTGTATGGAAGTAAATGGTAGTTATTTTGAACAATTTTTATAATAAATTTTGAAAATTAAATATTTGTTTCATTATTGGAAACCCTATGTTTCATACATTTTTAAAAAAAGTTAAATAAGAGTATTACAAAAATGGATAAAAATGGGAAAGTCATTTAAAAAAATTGAAGGGGTGAAAGGATGACTTTTTCTGCAAACTTAAATATGGCTCAATATCTCCCCCTTCGAATATTAATTGACGTATTTTTTGTTTTTTGTAATTAATCGGTCCTTCAAAAGTTACTTAAGGTGGATACTTTTATCTGAAAAGCACAGTTTTTAAAATGTCTAATTCCTACCTTATTTGGAGATGGTCCAGCGTCTAAGAAACTTAACAATTTAGCTTCGTTCGAAATAGCTGGCACTGAAGGTTTTCGAACATCAAAACTGGTATAGTTCATTAAAGGTGATGTAGGTGATGCAGGATGATATTTAGCTCTGGGAATCATCACTGTAAGCGATCGATCCTTTTGATCCTCGAATGAAATTGCGTGATTTGTAGCTTCACCTCGTTCAGAGGCTTGCATGGATACTTTTGAAGTCTTCTTTGGAGCAGGTTTGTGTTTCTAAAAACAACGCATACGAATTAGTGTATGAAAGTATTAGATTACTGAAAATAGAGGTACTTTTTCTACGATTATTATTGTAAATGCGTATTATTTTATAGTTTCCAACTAAAACTAACTAAATTGCTTCTAACGCACATATGTGAGTAATGAAACTTCTATTGAACTGGATAATATATCAATGGATTATTTGACATTAGGTATATATACTATTTTTTCGACGCCCATAGTACTCTCAATATATACATTTTTATTGAAAGTTTATATCAAAGAAAGGAAAGTTGGTTATATAAAAATAGATTTTGTTAGTGAACTTACAACCTAGTAATAATTCAGTTTTAGTTATTATTTTCTATTCCAAATCTGCACAAAATAATCAAGCCATATTACACGACAAAATAAGAGACTTTCTTGAAAATTAAATAACTTTAACAAGCAAACACCCTACAAGTAGTTCATAAGGGAATAAATTACATGATTTTCTATTTATCTAAATAAATATGTAAATAAAATGAATGACCTTATGCAACTAACAATGCATGAAACTAATATTGGTTGCATACATTTTAGTAAACACAAACACAATTGTATAAAATAAATAATCCAGTCAAAATTAGAAAAAATATTGTATTCTTGGGGATGAGGGTGAGTGGTTGGACATTTCAACCACTCACAACTTGGAATTAAGTACGAAGGTGTAAAAAAAGATCCTTTATTTGTCACAAACTCAATATACTGGCGACCGGTTTCGAAGTAATTACTTCATCATCAGACATACCTATAAATGGAAAGTCTGGAGTCAATGTAAATAAAAATTGAACAAAAAATAAAATAAATATCCATTACGGATACCTGCATAATTTTAATATTCAGAGCTTAAACTCACTGTCAATATATACAATTATGTCAGAGAGATTTTTATTTTAAAGGTGAAAAAACCATAAAATCAAGACTGGACAAATTAAAAATAGGGCTATATCAAGCTAGCGGGCACTCTGTGGCGGCACCATACAAGACCTGGTGGGTTTTTTGTACTTTTTTTACGCTATTTGCGAATTTGTAGCTTTGCCCAGGTCCGAAAAAACAGCGGATCCGCTAGCTTGAATTTCCATAAATTCCATAGTAGCGGCACAGATTCAGACCCAGCTGGTTTTTCGTAACTTTTTTTGTAGCTTTTTTGTTACGTTAGTCTCCCTTTTGTAGCTTGTACTGAACCTGAGAAAAGCGTGGATCCGCTAGCTTAGCGGATATTTGTAGCGGCACCAGCTCGGACCAGGCTCATTTTTTGTAACTTTTTTGTAGCTTTTTTGTTACGCGTGTCTCCATTTCGTTGCGAGGCATGGAGTGGTATTCTCGAGTCACGAATATAGATTCGCATGCAAGATTTATGATTTGTCTCACTTGGTTTTCGTTCAACAAAGTGAGACACATTGTAAAACACGTAAGCGAATGTCGGTATTCGTGATTCGAGAATACTACCCCTGAACGTGAGTAATAATCGTTTCTTCATGAGCGTGAGAGAAAAGTGTGTTAATTTAAAATCAAGTTTCGGCCTTTACAAGTAATATGTGCAACTCGATAGTGTGACTATCTATCGATAGATGGCACCAGTATTGCATTTCACGAATTATGGCCATCTTCAATCCAATATATTTTTGAGAAATTTAGATATAATCTCAAAATCGGACATTTGTTTTAAATGTTTTTTAGTGTTGTTTATGTATTTATACTTTTGTTGAATCAAGAATATTCTTACATCTTTTTTGAATGATTTCCTTAACCAATCGTTTTGCAGTATTTATGGACCAGTGTTCAATTCTGTCGGATCACAACTATACAGTGTGTTCCATCTCAGACGAGCCACCCCGTATATTTCTTATCCCATAGTAATTAGAAAAATTTCCCGAAACACGTCGGATGATTTTCTTTGGGGGACATCTTTTGACGTATATTTGAGGCTTGAACCAGCAACCCCCTATGAGGGGGCGCTTCAACCCCTCAAAATGGAATAGGGAAGAAGGCTTGAGTGATACATCATTTGTAAGGTCTTGAAAGCATCTTTACAACGGTGTATGAAAAAAATCACATTCTTAAGGCCAAGTTCAATGACAAGTGACGGCGACTTTTTTATCACAAGAAATACAGCTCTGAACGATAATATTTTCAAAAACTGTTTTCATAAATGGGTTCAAAAAACTGTAAAAAATGATGGAAAGTCTATGGTTTGTTTTACTTTTAATGCAAAATATTTTAATAAGTGATATTTAACAAATATTTAAAAGTTATGGACTTTCCATCATTTTTTATAGTATTTAAAAGTTAAAACGCAACATACATTCTTTTATTTTTGCCTAATTATTTCAGGATTCTTGTGATAAGATTTAAAAATGTAGGGCCCATAAGATGCTGCCATCTGAACAGACGGAATAGACACTAAAAATTGAAAAATTGCAACATCGCTCCCTATGCAGACGAATGTAAAATGGCTTAGCCCAATTTGACCATGTTTATGGGTGAGGGGCGAGGTGGTGTGTGGGGAAAGGTTGCAAGTAAATAAATTATTCTATAAATGCTATTTTCTGTTTGGAACACAAGCATGTTTGTTTTGAAAGTTTGACGTTTATGGTTTGACGTGTCATTTCAATTTAATGGACTTTAATAATTTAAAAGATGCAATGTACTTATATTATTGTAGATCCAGGTATGTTTTCGGTTTTTATTTTATTTTTATTTTCTTTATTTGGCTAGTTTCCTAATATCACAATATTCAAATTTAGTAAAAAATAATGTAATATTATAACAATTATTTTAATAACATTCTAAATAGGAAATGTAATTTAACTGCAATTGTTTTGATAACAGTATTTGCATATGGTCTGTGAATTTCATCTGTTTCCGAATAATTACCCTTAAATATTTGAATTTTTCTACTAACTGTATAGATTTTCTTCCAATTTCCTATATTGTTTGTCCACAAACTGCATATAGTTATTACTTATCAGCTTATATTTTGTTTTAGGTATTTGTGTTGATTTTTAACAAATGATTGCAACATCATTTATAAACATTTTGCAGAGTTTCATTGACAATTTACTCTTAGTTATCTGAATCCTTACAACTTACAAGAAACATAGATAAGGACATCAAAGGCAAACAGGTAAATGTCATATTAATTATTGCAACATTAACAATCATTAATATAAATTAAAAATAACAGGGGACCTAATTTTCTTCCTTTGATGTGGTTAATTTCTTCTGATCAGAACAGCGATTCTTTTGTGCCAACTCGACACATTACATACAGAATAGAGAGAGACATTACATCAAAATCGCTGTCTGTCGAACAAAGATAGGAGTCTCCATAGGAGACGTATTGAAAGATGAGAATCCCACTACATATGTTATTTAATTTTAATCTCTCTGACCTGATACTTAGGTAATCTACATGCTACTCCAATGCATGCTTTATAGCATAGATATAAAAAACCACCTTTATACCAATACTTTTTATTTTTTTTATCGAATGGTTTTGATCAATAAAATCAAGTGTATTTTAAAGAAATACAATTAATTTTTAGTTGTACATATGGCGGGTTGTACAATAGGCAGTTAAAATGTAGACTTAGTTTAAACTGTGAACCTTGTTGTATACTCATCGGTTATTGTTAAACATAGTTTTAAAAATTACATTTGTTTTTGAATATAACTAGTTAAAAATAAAACTCTTGTTAGTTAAAATATGTTTAAAATATTTTTTGTGCAACCTGCCCATAATGTATTTTGTAATAATTAAAAATCATAATATTCTTGTAAGGAAGTTGGAAAGCTTAGGGTTTGATCAGTCGCTGTTGAGATTATTTTCATCTTACCTAAATCAACGTTTTAATTATGTCTTTTACAACGGATTTTCATCTTCACCCCTCGCACAGCAACATCTGGAGTTCCACAGAGCTCCAATCTGGGGCCACTATTATTTAATATATTTATAAATGACTTGGCATTAAATTTAACCTGCTGTTCGCTGCTGACTTAAAAATATTTACCTCAATCTTATCAATTCAAGACTGTTACTTTTTACAGACCCAACTTGGGAATCGTTGAAAATTGGTGTAATGAAAACAAGCTGTTTATGAATGTGTCTAAATGTAAAGTATGTTCCTATACTAGAAGTAATAACAAGGTGGAGTTTGATTATTTATTTAACAGCCTACCTTTATCGGACTTGTGGCACAAATTGAAGATTAAGGTATATTATTTAACCAAAAAGTTACTTTTTCGGATTATATTGAAAATACCGTTGCTTCCGAGGTTGCTTCTGCGTTGAAAAGCTTAGGGTTTTTAATTCGTAATACTCGTTCTTTAACAAACTCTTAAAGCTTGGAGATCCTTACTTTTCTTTAGTTCGTTCCAGGCCAGAATATGCATCTCTTATCTGGAACCTTATTTACAATATTCATAAAAGATCATTGGAAAATGTTCAGCGGCGATCTCTTAAGTACCTTTCTTTTAAAATAGATGAGCTGTATCCAATTCGAGGTATTGAAGAATCTCGGCTTCTTTCGAAAAAAGAAGGGTAGTTTCCAGTGTTACATTTTTTTATAAAATATTACATAACACTATTGATGTACTATTTTTGATAAATTAAATAAATTTTAATGTTCCACAAACAGCCATTAGATATCATAAAACATTTTATACAGCAAGTATTTGAACGAACTTGGGAAGAAATTCACCTATAACGCTAATGTGCTCAAATTTTAATTAATTTTGTTCTGATTCTGGGATATTTATTTAGACCATTAGTTGTACTAATTTGTAGCTAATGTATTTAGGATTATTTCTTTTCTTTTTTTTTCTTGCTGTTGCTGAAATTATTTTCTGTCGAAATATTATGTTTAACATTTATTTCATGTATTTTGTTATGTAAATGGATTAATTTGTTGGGCAATAAAATTATTTAAAAAAAAAATGTTTATTTTGATGTACCTACCACCTTTAAAAGTTTGTCAGTATATTAACGAGAAATCCTATATAATTCCCAAAGAAAAATATTTTTGGAATAAATTCCGAATTCTATTTATTGATATTTGTTATTTTTTAGGTTCAATGACTCAAAACATGATGATCAGCTACACCAAGAATATTCTTGATACTTAAAAAAATGGTACGAGATTAAGCAGATTTGATGCTATGTCACATTGTGGTGCGAAGACGTGGCTTGTATAAATTTGGGGTATCAGTTGATAGAAAACAGTACGCAAAAATAAATTTAAATCTGCAGATGCATCAGAGCCATATTCCATACCACAATATGTCATGCGTGAACTCTATGAGATTTCATCGGCTAAGTATCATTCCTCTGTAATGTTTTGTATCATTAGGAACACGCAACATTGTAAACAATTATGACCAGGGTTTTCTGACCTTTTCCCTAGGTCAGAGAGAATAAATGAATACTAAATAATGTATAGTAATAAAGATTGGAAATATATATACTTTTAAGAGTTTTATTATGTCAACCATAGTTTTATACCAAAAATGAAAATAAACTGAAATTATACATTAAAAATACATTCATAAATTAACTATATTTATAACACTCATCGACTCTCTACTGGCTAAAATATTACTTATCTATCTATTAGGCTCTGTTCCGCCTATTTTTTGCCTTTAGCCTCCTTCTGACACTTCCATTCGTTCTTATTCAGTGTAGTATCCACATAGTTTTCAGAATATCAAGTGTTATACCTATCTGATGCTTGGTCCTGCAAAGTTCATCTTCAGTACACCTGCTTATGTGACATCTATCTCGATATCAAGTTTGAACACCCGTTTCGTTTGATTGAACACCCGTTTCTTGCCTATTACTCTTATAGTTAACCAGAACTAGCTTAGACTTGAACGCATATGTCTAATTCGGCCTAAACACAGCCTTGGTACCCAAATATCTATTTTACCGCTGGTTTCATTACAAAAAACTGGTGTAAAGGGTAAAATTATCTCTTGTCCAGTACACTCGTATAATACACTTGAGTATTAGCCTATATTATTTTTGATTGAAGACGTATACATTTAAAAATGTCGTTTACTTAAAAATAAACATTTAATTTTGATATTTTATTTAACTCGATCAAAACATTAAATTATTATTTTCCATGGCTTATACCGGACCTGTATGTACTCTAGTAGTCATGGAGTAGCTGACAGTGTTGCCGTCAGTTGCCGCCACATATTCATTAGTGACATACGTTTTATAAATTCATCGTGTTACAAATTTGTTGACATAAAGAGACAGAAATTTAAAGTGACGTCTGTTATTACTTCGAATGAAAAAAATCGATAATGCAAATTTCTAACCTAAAAAAAAATCGTGATTATATGTCAAACAAAATTGAACTTGGCCTTAAAAAAATTAATTGTTTTATGACATGAAATGATCGAAGAAACGTGATAAACACCTTCTAAGAACAAAAAATAAAGGCTAGATAAGAAAATGTTTTGATTTTTTTTTATTTATTAGTTCGAGAGAATTTTAGAAGTCAATGGAAGACAAATTGAATATTTCATTTAAAAAAGCAGTTCTGATTTTTTTGATTGTAAGCATGATAAAACAATTGATTTTTTTAAGAATGTGATTTTTTTCATACACCGTTGTAAAGAGGCTTCCAGGACCTTACAAATGAAGTATCACCCAACCCCTCTTCCCTATTCAATTTTGAGGGGTTGAAGCGCCCCCTTATATATAGCAATACTGGTGCCATCTAGTAACAGATAGTCACACTATCGTGTTGCACATATTACTTGTAGAGGTCGAAACTTGATTTTAAATTAACGCACTCTTCTCTCACGCTCATGGAGAAACGATTATTACTCACGTTCAGGCCTCGCAACGAAATCGAGACAGACGTAACAAAAAAAGCTACAAAAAAATTACAAAAAATGAGGCGGGTCCGGGCTGGTGCCGCTACAAATATCCGCTAAGCTAGCTAATCCGCGCTTTTCTCAGGTTCAGTACAAGCTACAAAACGGAGACTAGCGTAACAAAAAAGCTACAAAAAAGTTACGAAAAACCAGCTGGGTCTGAATCTGTGCCGCTACTATGGAATTTATGGAAATTCAAGCTAGCGGATCCGCTGTTTTTTCGGACCTGGGCTAAGCTACAAATTTGCAAATAGTGTAACAAAAAAGCTACAAAAAAAGCTACAAAAAACCCGCCAGGTCTTGAATGGTGCCGCCACAGAGTGCCGCTAGCTTGATATAGCTTAAAAATAGAGTCGAAGCTAATAGGTGACATTTTTATAGAGATAAGGTAGTAAAACAAATAAGTTAACAATTAAAACGTAGGTATCTGTAATTTTATTACTGAAATTAAGTATAGATGGCAATAAAAAATAAAGAAATCTATTATTATTAACGTTATTATAAATAAAAATTATAAATTATACTTATTAAAGAGAATAAACACCAAACAAGAAAAACAATAGATATATTACTTTGAAGTTTTAGATAATTATTTATATATTTAACACCACCAAATAAACTAATGTTGTCCGCATATGATAAACAATCCGACAGTCCAGTACTGGTAGATCATTAATAAAAGTTAAAAATAGAAGGTTTAAACTTGATCCTTGAGGAACATCCGAGTCATCTAAAAATCTGTGTAATATTTCACTTTTTTTAGTGATAACGTCGAGTTCTTTAAAAATGTAATACAAGTACACTAACTCCTTAAAACTAAAGCTTGGCTAATATTAAATCCTAATTTACTTTATTGAACGATTTGGCAAAGTCTTTGTAAATACAATCTACCTGGTCTTTGCTTTCCATAACCTTAACAATCTTATTTGTAAACGTCATTAAATTAGTTTCAAGTAATTTTTGAGACAAAATCCTTGTTTGGACGTAATTAAAAAATTTTCATATAATTTTTCATGAATAATAGACTCAAATAATTTAGCAAGACAGTTTAGTACTACTGCCAGCCTATAATAACTAACTTCCTTTTTATTTCTATGTCAAAATATAGGCGTTATTCTAGTTTGTCGGAAAAATACTAATACCTAAATAAATATACGTTAAAAATTAAACTCCATTTTTTGCTGTAAAGGCACTAGCAAACAATAAATTTTTACTGATCAGTTTTAGCCCGTGATTGTGGTTGATGCAATAGAGGTGGATGCGCTAGGTACGCCATTGTAGACGAATACATAAGATATACGAAGACATATGCTTTTGATTGGTAAAATAGTGATCATTCTGTATGAATTCATGCATCGCAATCATGGTACGTAACTCACCACTATAGATAAATTATGCACTCAAATGACTATGATTGTGAAATAATTTTGATAATAAAATACTAACTTTGATATAACGCGATGTTTCCGATTTGTTGTCTTCTTCAGAACTTGTATCTTGTATCATAGCTCTTCTGTCTGATGTATTTCTTCTTCCTGCATTTCCTTGGGGTAGGAAATTAATTCCGCCAGCTACACCCACATTCCTAGGTTTGCCTTTTATGCAAGTTAGAATGATACAAGTTAGAAGCAGACCAAATAGTAACGTTCCCAGAGTTACTAAAGCTATCAGTAAGACTAAAACAAAACGAATTAAATAACAGGTTATTTTTTAGCTCTTTTATCATAGAAATAAATAAAAATTGTGTCACAGAAAATGGAAAAACTACTTCTCTTCGATAGGTATTGGAATATATCTATTATTAATTTTTAAACTAGGAGGAGCGAATTGAATAGTCGTATTTGCACAAGAAAAAGTTGCTAGATATCATTGTATCGGATAATTTAAAACTGACTACTCAACGTTTTATATAACACCGAATACATCCAGTATGATGGAAAAGAGAATCGAGCACCGACTAAATGTCAAACAAAATCAAAATTGTGTTGTTATTTATATTTCGGGTTTAACATGGTTTAACATAGCGTTTATTATGGTTTTTAGATCGACGTTTTAATTTTTTTATTGTTTTATAAGGAACAGTATTCATGTCATCAAATGCCATCCTATAAGACTGCAATATTAATCGAAGTTTTTAAAAAATCTAAAATAATAACTATTAATGTAATTCTTTAACATCAATTCTTCCGCCAACAACACTCAATGATTCATTAGTGCCACCGTAGTTTACATGAAATTAATGATACTCTAGAACAGGTATGGGCAACCTTTGCTTAGCTGAGGGGGTAATTTCGGAACTTAATTAGGTCGCGGGCCATAGGCAAGAAATAAGTAGGTAGGAGTGAATAAAATAGCGACAAAATTTCACACATTTTTTTTTTATTAATTTTAATAGCATAATGATTATGCTCAATCAAACATATAAAAAGCAAGTTATCAAATGAAAATTAATGACAGACTTGAGTTTGAAGCTGAGAAACAGGATGATCAATATTGGAGTCAATATCACTAGTACATTAACATCTGTAAGTCGAGTACAATGCTTATTTTTATTAATTTTCATGATTGAAAAAAGCTGCTTACATTTATACGTGCTTCTAAATGTGCAAATTATTTTTCGTGCGAAAACTCTCAGCTGTGGATACTTTTCTTTGGAAAGGTAGGGGAAAGTCGGCTATATTGTACCAGCTCCTAAATTGTACCATTCCCGAATTTTAAAGAAAACGATACCTTAAGCGCCATCTTTTATTGCCACGAGGTACTTTTATGTATTTGAAGGTTAGTAGTTAGAAATCTAGCATTAGAAAAATTTAAATCGATCCTCATAGTTTAAAAATGAAGTATAGAAAAAAAGAGCAGAGAGAAAATTGTTTTCAATACTCTAGCTGTAGCTGTGATTTTGCTTATTAAGGTGCTAATCCTAATACCTACGGACCAAACTCGTCAAAGAATGACGTTCTCTGTGTTTATCGAACACTGACAAATGTTAAAATTTCTGTGTGTGTTATTAGTAAATATAATTAATAATTTCTCACCTTTTAGGTTAATATGACAGTATTGCCCAGTATACCATTGGAAACACTCGCATATAACTTCATCAGCCCCTCTCGAATAACATGTTCCGTGATAGTTACATTTTTCGCATCCTACTTGTTCAGCAGAACATATTCGTCCAGGATACAACATATTTTCTGATAAGTCAGAAAATCCTTCCTTACAACTACAGGAGTATGTTCCTTTCAAGTTGAAACAGTAAGCATTTTCGGAGCAATCGTGAAGGTGAGGTTGTAAACATTCATCAAAATCTTGCACTTTTAAATCCATAAGAGGGGAAGAGTAGATGTCCGTTCCGCCAAGACTGAAACTGTTGTTCAACAGATAGTTTTTTAGGATGTCTTCTAGACGTTTTTCTTCCATATTTTCCGACAACTGAAGGTAAAATTTGCTGACGATTCCTTTAGTTCCAGGTTCGAAATTGTGAACTTTGACACCATGGACAATGTCTCTTAGATCAGACTGCATAACCATTCTGTCCAGAGCTTCGCCGGTAGCTTGGGTAAATTTAAAATGTTCTGTAGTATTGGGGTCCTTTAGGTCATCATAGAAATGAAGAGGATCTTTGCCAATTCTGTCTAAAGTTAGCTCCAAATCGTAAGTATAGGTGGCTAAAAAAGAAATAGTTTACAGTAGGTAGATGAATAATAGCATGTTTTAATATGTTTATCTGATCTCTCCGAACAGGCAATATTAACTTACGTAAACAAGGTCTATCCGGAAACATCCTAGCAAATCCTGGTCTACAGGCACATCTTAAAATTCCATCCAGTTTCTGACAAAGTTCGTTTCTAGACGCTTTGCATTCTGGTTCACATCTATCCAAAACTTCTTTCTCTTTAGGATCATTGGCGATCAAAACACCTCCAAGCAAAACATTATTATCTTTGTTGGTAGAAATCATTTCATCGCGTTCTTGCGTTTCATATGTAGTTGGTGGTACTTTTACAATGTTCTTGGTATTTTTATCTGTCATTATTACTAAGATAGTATCGTTTTCCTCTAGCGGATCTTTATTGTTAGAATTTTCTTTATTTTCTGTTATGGGTGGATCAGTATCATGAATTATGAATTCGTTTAAATCTTCATCATTTTCTGAAGAATCAATAAATGAGTCATTAAAATTGTAGAAGGGTGCTATAATCGATGGTTTGATTTGAAGCGGTGGGTACTGAGTACCATACACTTCATCAGGATATAAAGAACTAGCTTGTTTTACAGTTGTAGTAATTGTTTCTATAATGCTAGTTGGTTTAACCAAAGTATGAACCTCGGTAACAGTATCAACAATAGTAGTCTTTTCAGTTTTTGTCACTAATATCGTTAACGTAGAAGGAGTCATACCTAAAGATTTTATTACAGTTGTTTTTGTAATAGTAACTGTAGCTGTCTTTGTATGAGTAATATATCTCGTAGGAATCTGTATCTTACTCTTGGTTTCATTGTAAACAGTTTTTAATGTATTAGGCAGAGGCTTTGTGATATCAGGAACTACTTTTATTTCATTTCCACCGTGATGTATCCCTGGTACTAGAGTATCAATACTACTGCTAAGTTCAATTTTAGATTTATTTGGTACTCCATATTGATCAGATTTATCAATAGATTTCTGAGTAGAAATTGGCACTTCAGAGGAAGATGATTTCACAGTTGTAGATGAGGAATTAGTTACTAATTTTATATCAGGATGACCAATAATAACTTCTAAAGATGGCTTGACTTTAATAGATGGAGAAGGACTGATAATATGCTTAGGAGTGGTAGAGCTTGTAGATTCCGTAGTTTCACTAGCTGTGTGCTCTGGATAAACAGGCCGTCTTCGTCTTGACGTAGTTATGGGAATTTGAGTAGTTGTACTTTTGTAAGCAGGTCGTCTGGTATAAGGTCTTCTAGTTCTTTTTCTGGGAACATCATTAGGTTTAAGTGTAGATCTATCAGTCGATATATCTACTTCCAAGGAATATCTTGGAGTAGTCAGTTTAGGTGGTACTTTAGGTGACGACCATGGCGGCGGACTCATCCCTATTACTTCTTCTTCCGTTTTTGGAGGAGGTATCATCTCTTCAGAAAGATTTGGTAAAGTCGATAGTGAATCTTCCACTTTAACCGGAATCACGGTATATACATTTGGTTTCTGACTGGGTGGTTGCATGGATGTGTCTGGAACATTAACTGGAATTTCTGTTATTAATGGTGGCGGTTTCATTATTTCCATATCAGAAATTATTTTGGATCCGTTATTGAATGTTACCGGTACTTCTCCAGTATTTAAGTTGTTTATTTCGCCTATGTCTACAGGAGGTTCAGTATATTCAATTTTAGCTGGTAGAGGTTTTGGCGATATTACATCTTTTCTTATAATTTCATTAGAAGATAATTTCTTTGAAGGGGCACCCGAAAACGGTTTTTCAGTTTGCGTACCAAAGTTGTGAGCATTATTAGACAGTAAATCTTTATTTATTGCTACCGAAGTAACAGCGGGTCGATCCCTGTTATTAAATTCTTTAAATTTATTAATTGGTAGTGACGTAACAGCTGGTCTATCCCTATTATTATTATATTCCTTAAAAGTACTTAACGGCTGAGAGGTACTCGGCCGATCCCTATTATATTTAAAGATATCTATTGGCAGTGATGTAGCCGGCTTTTCTCTAATTTTATATTCTTTAAATGTATTTATTGGTAGTGAAGTAACTGCAGGCCTGTTGTTATTTAACTCTTTAAGTTGATCGATAGTTACTGGTGTGGAAGTGGAACGTTCTCTATTATTGAATTCGTGGTATTTATTTTCCAATTCTTTATTATTACTTTCTTTAAACGAATTAATTGGCAGTGAAGTTACAGCTGGTCTTTCTCTACTATTAAACTCTTTATTTTTATTAAAGAATGAATCTTTAGCCTCTTCTTTTTCGTCGAAAAATATTAGTATTGGTCTATGAGTGGTTCCTGGATTTGCGTTAATGGAAACAACTTCATGACTACCGACACCAAATAGGTTTGGTTTATCTAAAACATAATTAGTTTGTCCGCCGATTCTATCAGAATGTTGATTGTAACCAATATCATCATTTTCAAAAGTTATTTTTTCATTGATAATTTCGTTAAATTTTTGATTATTTGTTTTGGTAGTAGACAATTGTTCATTCTGATTTTTATTCGTAATTATTTGTTGATGAGGTTGAGTGGATGATTTGAAATCGTTATTTCCAGAATACACGGGTCTAGTAAAGGCAGGTAGGGTTGGATTTGAAACTCTGATGTGCTCTACCGTTCGCTTCGTGGTAGAACTGGCATGAATAATTTCGGGAGGTACTTCTCCAGGACGTAATGGTCTACTGTTCGATTCTTGAACGACTTCGCCATCTTCGTTCTCCATATCGTCCTCTTTATGATTACCCACTTCAGAACCAACAGTAAAATCAGGATACTTCTGTGTTTGAATATTTTGATAGGAATTCCCGTTTAGATTATTTCCTGAAATAGCTGGAACATGAACTTCATAGATAGGATACGATGGCCTGAAGTTCGCAGGGGTTTGTGGATGATCTTGTAATTTAGTTGCTGGGTGCACCTGCGGTGGAACAGGTACCGGTATAGGCCTTTTACTCTGTTTTTGATTGTATGGTCTTTTGGTGTAAATTCGTGGAGTTGAAGGTGGTGACATAAATTCAGAAATTTCTATATTAGGTTTCGGTGACTCGTATACATTGGGTCTATAAATATTATTTTTATTGTTCGGATATTTTTGGAAATTATGCGGCTTGATATTTTGTCTAAACGAATCGGGTATTCTTTTGCTAGGGATCAAGTTTTGGTCATGATAACCTGGACCTAAATGGTAAATATGAGTTGGTTTTCTATGAGTCATATTAAAATCTTTGCGATAATGTCCGTTATTTCCATTAATTACATTTATATCACCAGTTGGTCGTCTTTGTTGATCGTTTGGTGGAAAAAATTCGAAATTACTTCCAGGTCTTATCAAATTATCATCATGGTTGATCACGTGGGCATTAAAATCTGATCCATGATGAATCATCTCATATGATACGGGAGGTCTATTTACATTAATTTGACCATTGTACTCAATCTTAGTTGGTTGTATATTAACTTGTACTTTTTGGTTCTCACTGGTACTAGGTTCGTTATTGATTAATTGATTTTCTACTTTTATAACACCGTTTACTTGTTTTTGATTTAGGATTTCTGGTTGGTAAATTGCTGTTATTTGTGGAACGCCATTATTATTTTCTGCTACAGAATATTCGTGTTGTGGATAAGGAGAGGGGTCCTCAAAGTACTGCCCGTTTCTATGCGGCTCTGTGGATCCTCCATAGATTAAAGCTGTTGTTCTATTAAACGGGATATTCACAAAAGCCACTTGACTTGGTTGTATATTTACAAGAAGTGGTTGTCCTGTTGACCTTTCAATTACTTCCGGTAATACAAGAGGCTCATTTTGGAAAAATGACGCTCGTATATTGTTTTTGTTTGGTTTAGCAGCAGTCAAGATTTCGTCAGTTAGTTTTGAATTATCTGAGTTGTGATTGTAATTGTGTGCGTATACAGGATGATTATGTGTAAAAGCAGGTTGTGGATTTTCTTTGAAATTAAAATAATTTTGGTTGTTTTGATGATACTGAATCCTGTTTGGAATATAATTTTTCTGGTTTTTGGCATATGTTGGTGCATTACTTCCTATTTCATTGATATTTTCATTTATATTTAAACCTGGATTTGGTGCTTGGGGAGGTGGACCTATATAATCGTTTTGAATATATTGAGGTTTATCGTTTGTAATATAATTATGTTTATCATTTTGAATAAATTGAGAATTGCCATTTTGAATAAATTGGGGTTTATCGTGTTGAATAAATTGAGGTTTTTCATTTTGATTAAACTGAAGTTTATCATGTTGAATAATTTGAGGTTTATCATGTTGAATAAATTGAGGTTTTTTATCATTTTGAGTAAATTGGGATTTATCAAAATTGTTATTAACAGGAATCCGTTTATATTCATAGTTATTTTTTCTCCAATCGCTAGGAACTGGAGGTGGCTTCATACCAACCGGAATTTCATTTTCTTGGCTAACTTGATGTAGCGGAATAGATGGTATTCTTGGACCTATTCTTCCTGGTTTTCCGACTATTACATCAGAATTAGAATTCGTATTTATAATATCTCCTGGAGAAATAGGAATGCCATTGCTAATAATAGAGCTTTCATGTGAATTCATTTCTGAGATCGCCGCTTTATTTGGTGGTGGGTCTACCCAATCGAACGAGGCTATATTTTGACTTTCAGCGATTTCAAATTCATCGTCCAAACCTCTAACTGGAATGTAAATGGGCGATCTACTTTGGATGTCATCAGGTGGATTGACATTTTCGATGGGTTTATTTGAGATGGAAGTGATATTAACATCGCTTCTTCTGTTAGCTTTAAGGTTTGTTGTTATTAATCCAGCCATAGCGTTAAGAACTGGAGCTATAGCTTGTATATTTATAGATCCTAAACCTAATAGATCCGTTGCTTGCGTAGAAGGTTTAACTGCAACCTTTTCTTCTTGAGTATTTTTCTTATCTTTAGTTTTCTCATTATTTGATGATTTATTTTTTTCACTACTCGCCGATTGTGGTTTAGCTTTAGCTGTTTCTACGCTTGGTTTTTTAGGTTTAGAAGGATTGATGGAGGATGCACGTGTCTTAGTTTTGCTTTTGGTAGATCTCTTGGGCTTGCTAAATTTTGTAGATTTATCAGTGACGGTTAAACTGTTTGCGTTATTTTTTATATCCGTGGATTTTTTGTTTAGGATGGGCGTGGCAGTTAATTGAGCGAAAGGGTCATCATCTATAAAAACGATTGTAGATCCGGTGATCACATTTGGAACTGACGAATCTATCGGTACTTTTTCATCGTTAATTAACGATTCAGGCATTTGCGTTTTTTCAATTGGTAAAACTTTAGTTGGAGTTATCGATTCCCTAATTTCGTTGGCTATGGCAGTTATGTCAAAAGTTTCACCATTATACAAAGTAATCGTTTTAATAACAGATTTAGCGCCTTTTCCAATGGCGTTTCTGATTTGGTTTAAATTAGATTTATCCAATAAACTGAGGTCTACAGTCTCAGAAATTAAATTTTCTATTACACTTGTTCTTGAATTGACTATTGTTGGAGTTTCTTTATTGTTGTCTTGTAGTAAGGTCGTAAAGTAAGTGAATGTGGTGAGGTAAGATTTCGTAGTAAAAATTTGGAAGTTGTTCTCCAATCTATGTTCTTTGCTTTGGATATCCATTTTCATAGAAGTCTTCGGAATAATATATAACTTCTCAGTAATCACATCGCTGGAGACTGAAATATTACTGTTAACCACTTCTTGATTGTTTTTAATAATAGTGTTATAGTAGGTGTACGTCACAAAATATGTTTTTACAATATCGGTTGTTATGTAGGACGCATCTGGATTATCATTGACATCTAAAGCGATATACGAAGTCATTACAGATGTCGCCCTAGGCGGAACACTTTCAGTTATAACAACTTGTGTTACTACCTCTTTTGTGCTCGTTATTGAGGTTTTGTTTCCTTCATATAAAGTTTTTTCAAGACCAATGGTACTGTAATAAGTGTTTGTGTCTTTTACAGGCGATAGAGTACCAGAACTTTTCAATAATGATAGGTAATCATCAGGAGCAGTAATAGTGTTTGTTACTGTGTGCTTCGATGATACTACTAATGGTTGGTCTCCATCAAGTATCGTATTTAAATAGGTGTAGGTAGTATGGAATACGCCGACTGATAAATTTGGATGCTGAAACAACATTAAAGTAAATTATTACTTTTAAGTTATAGTGATAGAAGAAGTCTACAACAATGAAGAAAGAAAAATAAAAAATTGTAAAACAGGAAAAAAATACGAAAAACGAAAATCAAGAAAGTTGTGAAGCAGGAGCAGCAGAATAAGAAGAAGAAGAAGAAGAAGAAGAAGAAGAAAAAAAAAAAGAAAAAAAAAAGAAGAAAAGGAAGAAGAAAAAGAAGAAGAAATAGAAGAAGAAAAAGAAAAAGAAGAAGAAGAAGAAGAAGAAGAAGAAGAAAAAATTAAATTCAAATTGAAAAGGAGAGTGATATCTTTATGGACTTTCTACCTGTGTTAATATAACTCCTACAGCTGGTGTAGGTAAAATTTTTCCTGTGTTTCTTTCTTCAGTGGCTACATTGGATACGACTTGTTCATGACTAGAAACTGTTGTAGTACCTCCTTCAAGGAAAGTTGTTAAATATGTGAATGTTGTTAGACAAGTTTTAGTGATGAATTGATTGGGATATAATGACGCCGACAAGTTTTCGATCTGAAATATTTCCGGAAAAATGAATGTGAATTACTATTTATCATTGAACAACTTACGTTGGAAGACTCTTGAGGTATCAACATAACCATATGATCCGTTAATGTACTCGGTTTTAAGGTTACAGGTTTATGCGCTCCAGATGTAAGTAAACGCTTAAAATCCTTTTCTCCTGGTATCGTCTTGTCTCCAGCTACAATAACTTCAACTCCGTTTGACATAACTCTGGTCGCAAGATTTCTAGCTTCATCGTAGTTTCGAACTTGGTTATCTAAAGTAAATCATTGGATATAACTTAAATCAAACGGTGTGTTAGTTTAAATTTATGGGTTCTCATTACAAATTGTATAGGTTATTAGTCCATATGCCAAAGAAGAATTTTTTTTAGCAAATCCAGTTTTAGAGACTTAAGTTTTTAATTGTTGAAATTGATAAAAGAGAGTATATGCAGGATGTCAATTACAAAACATAGTACAAAGTTAACTTGCATCACAATTTGTAATACGGCAGGATGTGTCATCATTTAACATTTGACCTTTGTTAGATACCATTATAAGAAGGTATTTGGAGACGATATTTACATATCTGTAAAAGGTAGATACTAAACGAAACTCTTGCGGTTATCAGTGATCTCGTCCAATTTTGTCTGTTCATGATTCTTGAATCTGCAGGCAATAGACTGTGAGACTTTGAGCATAACCTGGCATTTAAGAATTTCAAAGCTTGCTGATTGCTGATGGATATCACTTGTCAGTAGTATCTTTCGAAATGAAATGAATAAGGCTTTGACTACTTTACCTTTTTCAATACAAGATGCAGTAGTATCACAACACCAATGACTGTGTAGAAAACTGGTATGTTTTTTTTACCAGAGCCTTCTTTATAGTGGTATGTGTACACTATGTATCTATATCTAGAACCATAAATAGTATGATTCAAATATATGGACTAAATTCATTATTTTAAGAATAGACTACGTGAAAAAAATCTTAATATACATCAATATTAATTTTTGAACTCCATCTCATGATATACCTGTAAAAGAAGTTATGTTATTAGTGTTGTCGTAATGATGTAATCGACAATTTTTTAAATTCAAACAAGGATCATGAGATACCTCATTTGAAATGTCTCCTAATTGAGTATATTTATTCGAATAGTTATTTCTGCAGGTCCAACCAAAATTATGTATTTAGTTAAATAGAATAAAATAATAAATTTAATGTCCATTCATTGTACTAAATTATTCTAAGGACTGGGAATAAAATATCGTAGTATTTTCTACTATTTTTAGTAATGCAGGGAAAATAAATACATCGGCTGATATGTAAAAATTTTAAATCAATGATATGGTATCTATTAAGTGTTTATTAGATTCATAAAAATATTTAAATCAGTATAATCTATCAATGGAGAGACCGAACGAATCGAAATTTTAATCACGATTGGTTGTGCGGTTTTCTTACAAATAGCACACCATACTATTATCAATTACTGCCTTGATTGACCAATAAATGGTTGCAAAGTCTTGTCTTTTAATTACAATAAAATTGAACAACACACTATATCGGGCCGGTGGTGTAGCGGTCTAACGCGCTTATATTCATTTATAAGCAAGTTTATGTGTCAGAGACTGCTGGACTTCGAATCCCAGACCAGACCATGTGGATTTTTAATTAAATTGCATGGTTCTGTATGGGATTTGATGTGTGCCGTATTAATAGAAATTCAATTTCTGTTGATATGACATGCAGATTATAAAAAATCGCCATACATTACCGTCTCGATGATGGTGGGTGAGGTTTTCCGGGTTTTCCTCACCTGTAAGTCAAATGGCACCATAAATCATCTTTAAGTCGCCCCGGAGCGCCACGGCAAATAATAATAATAGCCTTCCCTCTCCCCGCACAAGCTCAGCTTTTGGGGTTAAAATTCACTCGTAAGGGGGTGAATTAGGGTGAGTATTATTATTATTATTACTATGTAGGGAATGGTATCCTGGAATACCAAGTTTGTATTTTTGTGTACAGTATAATATCGAGTAACTGATGGCTAGGCAGAATTATATGGCTCATTCGACAAACAACAAGAGCTATCGTAAGATGGTGGCCAGCATCATTTTGATAAATTATAAGTTTATACCTACCATAGTATTTTTTAAATTGAGTATAGGTTGAAAACTAAACAAAAAAATTAAATTCGGCTATAAGGGTGACTTTTTTCAAGGATAGTTGGTGCTACCTTCTGTTTCTTTAATATATAAACCCTCTTTTAATCATTTCAATAATAATAAAGAAACTTAAGGCACTAATTTTGGGTTGCCAATGCTGTTGTTGGACTACATGAAAATTAAGTATTGAATATATCTGAATTATCCCATATTAAACCAACAAATAATTATCAGAAGCGTAATTTAATTTAATTTTATATATAAGTAACACCAGAGTTATTTTATTTTGAAAATCAGTTTCAGCATATTACCAATACCTACTTTAATAAAATAGTTTTAGAAACTATATGAGTAGGTACTAATCAAATAACTTAAAACTGAAATTTTTATTTTAAATCATATTGATTTTTGTGGATTTAACTTGGAACGTCTCATTAATGAAATAAAATAACTATAATACAAAAATTATTTACATTGATTGTTAAATTTGGAATAGAAGGAAGAAATATGAAAGAAAACATCAAAGGGAGTAATAACTAATAGTTTTGTACAAAACAGTTACAGGACTAGATTACATAATGTAAATCTAATCCGTTTCAATAATCCTTCAGCAAAAAAGCTCTATTATAAATAAAAATACTGCTTTTTCCTGATACATTTATTTTGTAATAATTACTATTATTTTTTTGCTCAAAGATTGTGTGACGTAAAATGAAGTAAATTTATACAAAAGCTCCTACTCACCTTCAAAAAGAGGTTTGTCCAGAGCAGGAGTTATAGAAGATTTTGGATTGGTTAGAGATTTGGTAGCGTCTATGTCTAATAGAGTTAAAGTAGTGAGTCTGGTCACAGGTTCAGTAATAACAGTCGTCTTTGTATGTGGTTTAACTTCGGTAGTAGAAGTTACAATCTGCTCAGTTCCTGCAACTCTAGTAACAACGAAGGTGTATGTCCTCAGTCTGCTCTGTACAACAGTTTTTGTCAATTGTTCGATAGAAGAGATTACAGTGGTTTTTAGAAGAATTATAGGAGCATCAAGAGATTCTGTCAGTTCTGGGAAATAAGGCTCATATTCAGGGATTTCTTGGAATATAGGTCTAGCACTGGTCTCATCATCTTCTTTAATTATAATCATTTCAGTTGTAACATCAACAGGGTTTTCAGTAGTAATAGTAGTTTCATAAGTAACATTCACAGATTGTTCAGTGGTAGCATCTAGATCCATTTCAGTCGTAATATTATTACCAGGCGTTGTAATTTCGCTATAACTTTCTGTCGTTATTGGACTATCTTCTTCCAAATTATTAAAAAAGTAGTCGCCTTCTTTTAATGTTACCACTTCCGGAGTTGTTTCTTTTAATGCATTATATTCGGTAATATCTTCTTCGATTTTTGGTATATCAAATGACGTTTCTTCGCTGTTGTCATAATTTAAGAAGAAATCAGATTCTTTTAATGTTACAAACTCTTGAGATTCATCATCTTCCAAATAATTTGATTCGGTCGATTCTTCTTCGTCAATTTCGTCTAATTCATCGTTTATTTCGTTTTCTTCTGATGTATCCTCGTAATCATGTGTTATTGTATTATATCGTGTGTGATCCATGAAATTATGATATGCATTTATTCTAGTACTTTGTATAGGAATATCGATATCGCTATTTACGAAATCTTTAGAGTGATTATCACTATGAAGTAACCTTTTTCTCGTTATAATTATTCTTTTTCTTGGTCTGGTTGCTTGTTGTAAGTGATCTTCCTCAAATAGGGATAAATTTTTAGACGATTCGTCTATTGAAAGTTTTCTTTTCTTTTTTTTAATTTTTAACCGTCTTCTCCGTCTTTTCGTAGTACTTTCTATTTGGTAATCTTCTGTGTTGGCCTTTACATTATTAAAATCATTATTTGATACTAATTGCACCCGAACAAGTTTTTTTACAACTCTATTTTTTCTACGTGTGCCTATGTTGGGGTTATTTAAATCAATATTAGTCAGTTCTCTCTTTTTTCTTATTTTAGAATTTAGTTCTAAATGTCTATTATTTAATTTAGGCGTGGCCAGAATGCCCCCTTGATATAGAGATAGTTCGACCTTTGGCATTAAGGGGGTTACTCTGCTAAGGTCTTTTATGCTAAAAAATCATCTGAACTCTTTGATAAGGTTATATATCCATTAATTTGGCTTTGTCTATCGGATGTTACCCTCGATATTTCGGGAGTTTGAGTCTTAAAATATTTTGAGACATCACCAACTATGCTTTCTAAGCTTTCCGTTTCGCTTATGATCTCGGATGTTTCTAGTGGTACATCTTTAACACCGGCCATCAAGAAATTATCTAGTTTATTATGGTCAGTACTAGTTATTAGCTGAAAAGGTGACACCGATTTGGTTTCTATTTCTCTTTTACTTCTGTTATTTTCTTCGCCTACAACAACAGTTGAAAGAACTGTAGTAAATTCTCCAGGTGTTCGACCTGATACGTAAAGCGTTATAACACTAGTTTCCTTAACAGGTTGAACGGAAGCAATCGATTTACTTTTCTTTCCTTTTCTAGAGATTTTTCTTTTGGAAGTTTCTATTACTTCTTCTTCTATCTCAACTGGTTTTTGCAATTGCTGAGTTTCATCTTCAGCCAAATTAAACTTCTCTTCTTGTTCTTGAAATAGGGCTTGAGCAATTGGCTTTTCGTTTAAATTAAATACGTTTGCCGAATGCTGAGTTAGTTGAAAAGTATTTGAAAGCTGTTGTTGTTGCTGCTGCTGTTGCAATTGTTGTTGCAAGAGTGGAAGAAGTAATGCTGTATTTAATTGTTGAGGTTGATATCCTAATGTTGGTGTAACTGTAATAGTATCTGTCAAAAATTCGGTGGCTGTAAGAACAGTTACACTGCTGTCAATTATTGTAGTCAGAATTTCTTTTCCTCGGAAGGTTAAAGGAATTACTGTAGATGTTTCGCTGGTAACGGTTGTGACGTAGGTAGTTGTTCTTGTTTTGAGTTCTGTTGTAGGAGTAATAGGAACGAATCCGGGTTGCTGAATTTGCTGTAAGCCAAGTAAAGCATTCGGTTGTTGTTGTACCCCCCCTAAGAGGAGCTGGGAAAGTAATATGTTTGCTAATGGTGCTTGGTTGGCTAATGCTGGTTGAATGGTGTTAACTACAGATTCAACTTCGTATATTGTACTAGGTACAATATGAGAGAAAGAAGTCTTTCGTCTGTTAATGTAGGTTGGAGTAAAAATAATACTAGTAGTTGGTGTTTGTTTCAAGATATACTGTGTAATTAAGGTTGCACCGTTATTAATATCAGTATTTTCACTTAGTAAAACAGTTACATCCTTTCCTAGAGCGTTTATTGAAGTAGAATATTGATTAGGATTTATAATTTCAGTGCTATATTTTGCTGTCACAATATTTTTATATTCCGTTACTTTTCCATTAACAACTGGTATTGTTATTTCTGTGGGAATATGTCTAGTAACAGTAATAATACCGTCAAATTGCGAACTAACGTAATTGTCATTTTCGAAATCAGTCTGTGGTCTTTGTCTCGGAACAACCCTTCCTCTGTTAGTGGTTGTTCTACTGTTTTGCCTGCTATTGGTATTTGTTTTTCTTGATGATTCGGTTTGGTAACTATTTCTAAATCTCGAGTTATTTGTTCTTGAAGTACTGGGTCTACTTCTTGTAGGGGCAGTTGTCGGCCTTTTAAAACTACTCCGTTTGTCATTTTCTCTCAAAGTAAATTGCGTTCTGCCTTGACTAGAAGCCTTACTAGGTGAAATTCTTTTTCTTGGTGCCGAAGTTGTACTAGTAGTAGAACTTGTTGTTTTAGTTCTACTTTTGTTAGAATATCTATTTCTTACTGATTTTTGAGGTTTCTCGGTTTCTTCTTCTAGAATATCCTCAATAGTTGATGGTGTAGTTCTGCTTGTAGGCCTTCTAAATCTAGAGTAGGTATCTCTTTTGGATCTTTTTCTGAAGAATGGTTTAATTTGGATACCTCTTCCTCTAACGACCGGTTTCCCTGTGGTTGAAGTAGGAGGAGGTGCTGTTTGAGTGTTTCTTAGAGAGCTATCATAATCAGTATCCTCTTCGGGATCTCCCTCTTCTATTAGATCCTCGTTGTCGTCCGCATTTTCATCTTCAGGAGCAGGAGTTGTGGTAGTTGTAAATAGACCTCGTCTTGGAAATAATGCGTTTGGTCTTGCCCTGTTCAATAAATTATTTGTTCTAGTAGTCCTCGGTCTGGATGTGGTAGTACTTGTTGTAGCTGATGTTGTAGGTCGTGTAACACTCTTTCCAGATTTAGATGTTCTTGACGGAGTAGTACGTGCTAAAGGTGGTCGTCTGAATTTTAAAAGTGGATTTTGGCTACGCCTTGATGTTGGTTCTGTAGTAGTTTGCACATCAAGAGTTGTTTCATCCCCTTCACCACCTTCAGTTGGATCTTCAGTAATTAAAGTAGTTAGATTATCTTCGTCATCTAAAGGACTTTGGGTTACTATATTGGAACTTGGTGACCTAATTAAACCAGAAGCTAATGTTGGTCGAATTCTGGGTCTGCCTGGAAACAGTGAACTTGATCTGTTTGGAAGACCACCTGCACTAGATGTTCTAAATCCTGCTCTTCTAGAGCTTGACCCTAACGTCGATGTGGGGTTAATACGGGATGAACTACCTCTTCTACCAAATCCAGAAGAACTTGACGTTTTCGGTCTAGAAAATCGTCTGCTACTAGAAGATGTAGGATTAATACTAGACGATGAAGACGATCTTCTACCACCGAATCGATTACCCTTTGAAGAAGCTGGAACAGCCGTTACTGTAGGAGTAAAGTCGCTTCTCGTAATAGTAGCTGCTGTACTTTGGCCCGATTGCTTTCGTTTTGGAGCAAATGATGGCCTTTGTCTTGAAGCAAATGGTCGAATAGCGGGTGTAAATGTACGTTTTTTAGATTGGAACGTTAATCTTGATTTACTCTTTCCTGGATCCTTTTCATCTCCTTCCTCCTCTTCGGTTTCTTCAGTTGTTGTTTCTTCTTCATCTTTACCATCACTAAATGACCCTTCTATAGCAACTGGTGATGGTGAAACTAGTTTAGTATTGGTTATTGATTTTTCTGGACCTTGTGTAGAAGCAGGATGTATTTCATTAGCACCGCTGGGTTTGATAGAACTCTTTTGTCCTACTAAAAAGCTTGAAGTGCTCTGTATAACTTGTGCATATCGTCCATCAATAAGGGTACCCAATACTTTAGATTCATAGAATGTAGTGGTGTCGTTCTGCACAATAGAACCTTCAATTAGTCGTACTAACCCCGTCCTATGGACAATAGGTAAATCAGCGGGAAGAGAAGATTTCTTTTCTTCATCAACTGTTAATGAACTGGTACTTTCAATTACTTGAGCATATAAATTATCTATGTAAGTACCAACGGCTTGTGTTTGGTAGAATAGAGTACTGACTCCTTCAGCGTCAACAATTTTTCCTTTATTAATACTGACTACACCTGTAGGTTTTAATTTTTCAGTAGTCACCGATGTAGATTTTATTTCGCTTGTAATGATACTAGAAGTACTTTCAAGTACTTTGGCATATAATCCATCAATGTAAGTGCCATAAACATCTGTTGATAATAATGTTGTAGTACCATTATTTTTGACTGTGTTTAAAATTGTTGATATTAAACCAGTGGGTTTAATGCTAGTAGTTCGATCAACAGCTTTCTCATTAATATCTACCTTATTTTTATCGTGTGACCCAATAGCTCTACCAATATAATTAGTATCAATATCTGCTGAGTTATTTAAAACATTGGTTACAGTTTCTAATCTGCTATTTAATACTGTATTATCTCCGATGTAAGACGTTGTGTAATAAGTATAAGTTGTAAAATATGTAGTGAGTTCATCTTCTCCAACGGTTGATGGTTGAGTCGTTTCTGATTCAACCATAGATGTCTCTAAATTATTTATTGTAGAAGTTTTTTCAATGAACGGAACAGTACTGGTGGCTTTAATAGATGCTGTTTCTACATTTGTAACGGTTTCTTCTCTGCTTGTGATTTTAGTAGTACCATCTTTGTATAATGTAGTCCAATATGTGAATGTTGTAAAGTAGGTAACTGGAGCATTTGGATCATCTGTCGCAACTATTTTTGAAGGTTCTAAAGTTTGTGTGACTACGTTTGTAACTGTTTCTAAGCGACTGACTACGTTACTGGAAGTGGTGCCCTGATACATTGTTGTAAAGTAGGTAAACGTTGTATAGCTAGTTTGTAATAGAAGAGTTGGGTGAGGAATAATTTCCGAATCGTTATTTGATTCAGAAAATATCTGGTCTTCTAATAAAACATTTCTTTTTTCAACATTATCTATTATTCTTCGATCTCCCTCAGAAGTAGAGCTGCGAACGTCAGTTACCATGGTTGATATTGTTTCGTATTCACTTAGATCTAAAATATCATCAGATATTTCATTATTTTCTGTGGTTGTGCTATCATCATTCGATGTTAAATCGTTATACTTTGGATCGACTAAAGATTTTTGTCGATTGATGGTATTGTAGGAATTTTCAGGTTTAATTTTCGATAACAATTTAAGTTTCTTAGCTACGTAATCCTCACTATCGTCAATTGTTGGCGATTTAGTGTTTAGAATGTCTTTGTGCGAAGCAGAAGGAGTTACATAGTTAGTATACACTTCCGTTCTGCTTGATATTTCAGTTTCACCATCGACAAAGATAGTTGTAAAGTATGTATAAGTTGTATAATATGTTTTAACTCCTTCTGCAAGTATTTTGCTGTCATCAAGATTTGGTGTAGCTTTTGACGATTCTTCAACTTCGGCTTCAGTGTCTTGTAAAATATTTGAAGATTCAGTAGCAGTTGCTTGTACGGAGTGAACTTGTGATGGTGTTATATTTGCTAAGTCATCAAATGATACAGTCTTAGTATTATATCTGGTTGAAGAGTCTTCAACTTCCATTATTCCTTCAACGGAATCTACAGAACTTTGCATTTTGGGATCTAACGTAGATGATATTACATTAGTTGTAACTACTGTCCTGCTAGCGATCGATGATGAAGATTCTTGGAAGTATGTTGTTAAATACGTATAGGTTGTATATAAAGTTTTGTATATTATTTCTAATTCATCACCATCTTCAGTAGTTGTCTCTGTAGCTTCTGATTCTGATTCGGTTATGTGATATTCTTCAGTTGTTATTTCGGAAGTAGTAGTTTCTATTTGTTTAAATGTCGTAGCTTCTTGTTCTGTCGTGGTTTCAGGTTTTTCTGTTTCTGCATCAGTAGTTGTTTCAATTTTTTGTTCGGTGGTTGCAATTTCTTCGGTGGTAGTAGTAGGTATACTTGTACTAGAAGCAATTGTTGAGACAGAAGGTGTAACTGTTTGACAAGTTTTGGTTTGTAGTCCTATTTCAGTTGAAATAACCTTATTTGACTTAACGGAAGTTGTTGTATCATCATCGGTAGGAATAAAGAATGTAGTTAAATATGTTAAAGTTTTGTAAGCAGTCGTAGGTATGATTTGAATCTTTCCAGTACAGACTATATCTATGTCCTTTTCGTTTTCACTTTCTATTTCGTTTTCAGTAGTTGTTATTTCATTTGGTGTAGTATTAATTACGTTTTCTGTAGTTGCAAAACCTTCGCTAGTTATTAATTCCTCATCTACTGTGGTAAATATTTCTTCTGCTTCAGTTGTCACTTTTTCTTCGTCGGGCAAAGCTGATGCTTCTAAATGTTCTAAATGTGTTACTGAGCTAGTTTCAATAGGCTCGTCATCGAAGAAAATTGTTGTTATGCCTCCCGTATTTGCTAATTTAGAATCTTCAGAGCTTTCAACAATTGATGAAGCCACAGTGTCTAAAGCTTCAGTTGATTTTTGATCAAGAGCTTGAAGTGAAGCAAAGATTTTAGCAATCTCTTCATCTGATGGCGTTGATAACATTGGTATTTGAGTTTCAGAAGCTTGTATAACATCTGGTGAAAATATAATTGTTTCTTTTCCTTGTTCGTGTGCAAGTACAGCAGATTTGGCATCCATGTTAATCCGTTCATCAGCAACTTGACTCTTAGGATCTCTAATCCTGTCTGTTTTATCGATAACCATAGTGGCAATTGTTGTTTTCATGTTTAACTCAGCTCCTTTAAAGGTTTTAGTCTCCATTGGGGGTTCTTGAGATAAATATGTTTGTACTCTAGTTTTTAGGGGCGGTTCTAATAAAGTAGTAGTGGGATTGATTGTAGTAGTTATCTTGGGTACTATCTTACTTTCTTTTACACTGCTTTGTATTTGTGTATGAGGTGAAAATATTATTACAGTGTCTCCAACTGTAGTGGTAAAATCTGCAAAACCGGTATAAGTTATTGATGTAAGATCACGCGCATTCGGTTTAGCCAGTCCAGCTTTAAACAATAGTTTAGCTTTTCGTTCAGCTGGAGTAGTTAATCTTGATCGTTCGGTACGTTGTTCAAATTCAGGTAAATCTCCAAGGAAGGAAAGTCCAGATGGAGAAAATTCATTTCTAACAGTAAATGTAGGTAACTCATCCCATTGACGAACTTTAGATGGTGTGAAACTATTTCGTAGATGCTTCTCGTTGGGTTCTTTGTGAACAATTATGTTTTCTTGAGTAAGATCTGGAACTTCTGGTGTAATTTTAAATACTTTTATATTAGATTGTACTGGAGATACTATTTTTTTAAATTTTTCGTCAAAAGGCACCCTATAATTGTTAGAAGATTCTTCTTTTAATAGTTCTTCTTCTGGAGATTTTAGGTCCAATGGCGTTATATTTGCTATGTCTTCATTGTTTGGCTCCGTATTGATTCTGGTAGAAAATATTTGGCCTGGTGCAACATTATTGGGCAAAATATAATCAATGTTATTTATAAATGATCTAGTATTGATAGCGTTTTCATTTATATTCCATTTTTTATTCATGTTTTCGTGAATTTTCGACGACTGGTTATCATCGTACAATACTCTAGAGCTTTTGGTCAGCAAATGAGCGTATAAACGACCATTGTCAAGTGTGGTACCGAGTACTTGAGTAGCGTACTCTGTAGTTACGCCTTCTTGGATGAATGTACGGGCAGTAGAGGTGATAAGACCAAGGTCAGGTTTAACGTTATGGTACCTTCCAAAAGAAGATCTTCCACGACTATCCACCAGCAGTACAGTGGTAACATCTATAGGGAAGGAGGGAAAATGTAAGTTTGACATTGAAGACAGAATAATATACAATATACAATTTACAATAAAATACAACTGTGAAAGAGAGCAAAATCAACGTTCCTACAATGTACAGAGGGTAATTTAACGGCGAAACCCGAAAAGTGTGTTACTCCGTTTTAAGAAATTTTACAGGAGTATTTTGTATGTGTTTTGTGACGTTATTATGAATCAATTGAGCAAACTACCAAACTAGCAGACATCTTAGTTAAATAATATGTTTATCTGAGTCAGAAGTTTTTCGTTTGCAAATACCAGGTGTCTGGAGTTAAGTAGATTTTATTTTCCAATTTGAAACAGTTACTGTAGGAAAGGATGATACACAATTTCTTACAGTAGTAGTATACCCAACTAGCTAATAGATGACACTAAAATATAAAATTTATTAAAATGTGAAATTACACACTTTTCAGTTTTCGCAAAAATTGATAAATGATTATGGACAGGAACTGTCTCATTAAAATACGAGTTTAGATGTTTACAGACGAGGTGACGAATGAGAAGAGTCTGGAATTTCTAAACGAGTATTTTAATGGTATTTCATGATTTTATTGCACAACGATTTATTTCATACCGTTTGATTAAGACTTATTAATTATTCTGATTTTTTGTGGTTAATTTTATGTAAGTGGATAGACCACAATTAAAAATTAATTTTAATTGATACATAAATATCTTTAGATGTGATATTACTTTTTATAGAGTGCGCAAGTCCAATAAAGTAACTTTATTATGTAATGTACAATTTTCCTGGCTTAAATTGATGATGCATACATCGAAGAGTATAAAATGAGAATATATTTAAAAAATCAAAAATAATAAATATGAATATATATCTGCAGTGTTTATATTTTCGAATAACTAAAAATAGAAAAACAAAACAAGTACAATTCTATGTATTTAGCTTTATGACCTTGGTGGCCAAGCAAGAAAGTTGCATAATTAATAATCAAATCCGGACCTGTCTAGTAGTAAAGTCCGAGAGTTTTAGACATATAGAGGTATTCGGAGACGTGTAATTTTTTTTATTATAATCCATCAGGTACTTGTAGCAATTAAGCTGTCATCAAGCCACTGTAATACGGAAAAGAATAATTGAGAATACTAGCACCCGGTTGCAAGAACTTTTGTTAAATCGCACAATTGCTAATGATCCCATAATTTTTTTTTTAGATTTTGCGGATTTTGATGTTCATGTCAGTTAGACAGATGATTACATTTTCAAGCTCTGTTTATCGAGTCCGTAAAATGGTAAAAGAGAATCATAACATCTAAAACGAAGAGACGTAAATGGGGATAAAATGTAAAAAAAACCGTGAACCAGAGATAAGGGACATAAAGATTGAAAACGCAACGACCGCAGCAACAATGGCGTCATCTAGCGTCTCAGATGTTAACTACAGGTCTATAGAAATTTGCAATATCTCTCTATTAAGGACAGTCACAATCTTTATTAAAGTTAGTGATCTGCGCATGCTCAGATGTCAAAATAAGAGCGGCACTAATAGTGACTGACCTTACATGAATTTGCAATAACTCTCTAATGTATGTGTTAAAGGCACATACTTTGATTTTCTTTTACTATACGGAGAATGGTCGCACTGCGCAGCTTTCTGATTGCCTTTTAAAAGGAGATAGAAAACTCCGCCATTTTGAACCCTTATTACGTGTTGCCTACATCTTGGCGCAATATTTTTAATAGGTGCGTTTTAATCATCCGCTTCTGCTTCGGAATTGTCAGTTTTCTTGTTTTAATCTGACAGGTTAAAACGACTAAACCGACAATTCCGGAAGCAGAAGCGGATGATTAAAACGCACCTGATATTTTGCTTGCTGCTGTCAGTGTCAGTGAATATTATTTTTGAAGTCACAGTTTATTGCTAAAGAATCAGTTAGCTCACTTGGACCAGTTGAAAGTTCCAAAATAACATCCACTCCAGGGATACAAATTCAGGATACGCAGAAGACTGCTGTTTTATTATAGGCGGTTGTCATATATTGTATTATCCGAGTTGCACAGTGTATAAACTGAAACATTGAGATCCAAAGTGCCGACGCAGAGTGAGCGATCTGATTCTTTAGCTGTAAACTGTGTCACAGGGTTCAAAATGGCCGCGCCCTATGTTGGGCGTGTCGGACCTCTCTCTTGCCTCGTATAGTAATCAAAGTATGCGGTTAAAGGACTTTAAGCTTATGAAAATATATGAATAACAAGAAGAGAATTAAGTTATATTATTAAAACAAAGATAACACCAAAAATATGTGTGTTACTATTTAGCAAACGTTCAGATTATGAATACTAGAGATAAGGAGACGAATCGGCATGCTCAAACTACGGTCCCAAAAATCACACGTCAATTGAGTTTTTATAATTAACCGAATGGGCGCTGGTACGGTTTACGTAGTTCAAAATACATGGCTTCTTATGGGAATTATACATAATTTTGTCAAAATAATAAAAATAAACTTGTTTGTAGCTAAATAAAGCACAGAACATACTGTTGTATTTATTTCTAAATAAGTCTTACATATTTTAATTGATACATTATTTACTATTTATTCCTATTTAAGTAAAACGCAAATTATTGATGATAAGTGTTGAAATTTGATGGGTAGGGCTAATTATTTTTTAATTAAAGCTAAATAAGACTGAGGGCATACTAAGACACGGTTTAAATGAAAATATTTAGTCAGGGATTTTACAAAATTTTATGAAAATAATAAAAATCTAATTGTTTATTGCTAACTAAAGCACAGAAAATACTGTTGATTTTAATTATTGTAAATAAGTCTTTGTTTTAATTGCTAACTAAAGTACAGAAAATACTTGGTATTAATTATAAATGAGTCTCGATGTTAAACATTATTTACTATTCATTATTTAATTTTATCTAAATAAAATAAAAATTAGGTATGACCAAATTTGAAAAGGTGTGTTAAATGGTGAAATTTGGTAAGAACAGTTTTGTGGTAATTTTGTATTCGACAACTACAATTTCATCATCCTGCTGAATAGTTTTTTCAGCAATAGGTTTTAGTATTTTCTTCGTTTTTTTTATTCTAACAAATTCAGTTCGGTTCAATGGTGGTTTCGACTTTTCCTAATGATGGACAAGTATGAAGGGAGATTCGGGAATATACATGGTAGCTCGCAAACAGAATCATAACGAGACAGTACTTTATCAGCCCGAGGAATCACATGCTGCCATTGTTCTAAACGTTTGGGATCCTATAAAAAATATTTGCAATGACTAAATTGGAGTTCAGTAAAGAAAAATAACAGTAGTAACTCTTCATCTAACATCAAAAAACATAAAAAAAGTAAATTTTCTTTTCTAGTAAGTTAAATTTAATGTGTAATTATTGTTGTTCGTAAGTCAGGATTTATGACTTTATTATTTTTTATTATAGAATTTTGTAATTAAATAAACTACACTCCGTAAGATACGGGTTGTGACTATTTTACAATAAATATATATTATTTAGAAATAAATACATTATTTTACTTACACTAGGAGCTTTAAAAAGACTTGGATTTTTATCTCCTTGTGTTTTCTTTAATTTTAAATCGGATTTATATCCCGTTTTTCAACCCGCAACGAAGCAAATCCTGCTTTGCCGTTTTTTGTTACTCATTGGTACTTGTAGTCAGGTTCTTTATTTCAGCTTATTTTTATTCTTTTCACTAAATTTTACAAAAATCACTGTAATTCCCATTGACTTGCATAGAAAATAGACGTCGTTATTTTGCCACCCGCCAACTACAGTAGTTTTTTGGAACTTCATAAAAATAGGGACGGAAATTTGAAATTTGACCAAGGCCGATTTGCCTCCTTATATCTAGTCTTCATAGTTTAGATTTATTAAAATTTCTACGTCATCTACGTCTCTTCTTTCCAGATGCTATTGTTGTAATTTACCATGTTAGTACCTTGCCTTTTTTTTGTAAAAAAATTGACAAGTAAATACCCAACAAAAAATATGTATGAGTATTTTTTTAAAAAGTTATTTGAAAAAGTTATTCGAAAAAGTAATTTGAAAAAGTAATTTCAAAAAGTAATTTGAAAAAGTTATATAAAAAGTTATTTGAAAAAGTTATTAAAAAAAAAATTTTAATAGAGGCATTTGAAAATGTATTCGAAAAAGTTGTTTATTGCAATAACATAGCTAAAAGCATATAATGTTTTTTAAGTTCAGCAATACCATTGATGAGACAATAATTTAACGCTTTATGAGACTTATTGTTTTGGGGGAATGCAGTGATATTTAAAATATTCATATTTGGTGACTCTTGGTCTTGATACTTTCCTTTTTTTATTTAGGTAAAATAGGTTAATCTACAGCTTGAATGTTAATAATTGTAGACCACTGGCATATGTTGTTTTTCGTTCGAACATTATATTTTATAATAAAACATGAATCCAATTAAGGTTGCTTTACAGTTGTGGGTTAATATTTTTTTATAAAGGTATTATCATTGTTGATAGGGAATATAAAGACATTTTTGACCTTGACCAACCCATACCTAAATATATAATTGAATAAATTGGTTGTCAACACCTCGTTATATAAATTTTAATTATTATTAAAATAAATTGGTAAGTATAGTAAAGTGCATGTAACATTAATTTTAAATTCTTGAATATACCATACGTTTTTAGGAAAATTCTGAATTTTTATGGTCTTATTTTTTGTGAAGTTTAGTTTTTGATATTCTTGGGTTTTAGGTATTTATTATTTGTAAAACTTTTTGTGCTTTTGTTTGTGACCTCTTCAGTACTTACTAGTTTTATTATTTTTTTGCCAAATAAATATTATTTATTTTTTTAATGCATTATGTAATTTTTTAGAATTTGTAGTATTATTAAAAAAAAAAAAAACACATGCAACCCAAGAATATCAAAAACTACTAATTTTAGATGTCACGTTTTATTTATTATAAACACGTTCTCACAAT